TTCCAGGAAATTAAAAAGAGCACTGATATTTTCCCTCATCGAGTAAATCTTTTAGCTTTGACTGCATCCTAAAGTGTAAAGGCTTTCCTATATTTTTTTAGTCGGATTTTTAAGTTACAGTGACGAAGAAGTCTCAGTCGTTTGCGTTTAATGTCTATCACCTTTAGAGGTTTAAAAAACAGTCTAGAGATCAGTTTTCTTGTTTGCTTTTTTCCTCGCGCTTTAATAGGTTTTTTGTGTGGTTTTGTCCGTGAGATCACTTGACAGTTTTGATGACACAACCAAAGCATCGTTGTGGCAGACCTACATGCCTCTTTCCGGTCAACGATGGAATGTGATGTGACAACTGAAACAAGTGGCATCACAACGTGTGTAGCGGACTCGCACTGGCTGCATATAAAAGGTGTTGCAAGCTACTATCAAATTGACTGTCCAAAGAATGCTGCTCTTCAAGATCTCTGCTGGTTCTTGAGGCGATTGAGCTGTCGAATATAGCTAGAAAGATGCCCTCAGATAAACAGACAGCAGCAGATGAACAGCTTTCCGTTCTCGAGGAAACAGCGGGGGTCACTATGAGTCCAGCTTTGTATTCGAAAAAAACCCACCAAGATGGAACCCCATAATGTAGTGTATAATAAATGTACAGATGCAGGTACAGGTACAAAAAAAATGAACTCTAAGAGAAAACAAATTATAGGGAGTCGACGGTTTCAGCACCGGACTACCATATCAACGAAAAACAAGCTATGGAGATGCGAATCCCGAGCAGTATAGATGACTTAAGTGGGAGAAAAACAAAGTCATTGATTAGCCCACAGTTACACCCAGAAATTTAAGAGAACAGGTTGAGATCTGCACGTCTGACGCCTAATCAGACTGCAGGGATAAGAATATTTTATGGTCTAGCTCTTTGCCTAGAAGAGACTCCTCAGTGGAGTTTCCCGAAATAGTTTTTTCATAGGCTCTGATTTTTCCTGATTATCTTCTTCTATTTGAGATCCATTTCTTTCCGTAACAAGGTTGAAATCCGATGTTGCTCTTTTTTCTGTAATTTATGTACGAGAATGATTTAGGCTTTGCATATTTTCACCGAGCCTCCTGGATTGTAATTGTACACTTACTTCATGACCTGCAGCATTCCATCGTACTTGCTGTTCCAACCTTTCTTATTTTGTCTCAGTAAATGTGAAATATTCCGGTCTATCTAGAAATGTCAGTGCTTCTTCTTCTTTGGGACTGTCCAGGGTATGAACGGTTGAGTTACTTGTTTGCATGTTTTCCGTTAATGAGTCAATGACTCTTCTACTGATGTACCTGAGTCAACTATCCGTTTTTCAGCCAAGACTGCAGAGTTGATCGCTTTCGTGTCTGCATTTTATGTTAGGACGGATAATCGCAACTGCTTGACAGGCCATCTCAGCCATAAACGTAAATAAGATAAATCCATAATAACTTCTCCCTAAAGGTATTTGACTGATATCATCACTGTGTGTGAAAATTAGGTCTAAAAGAAACGGAAAATTTTGTAGGTCATAAGTCAAAGGGTCTCTAATTTGCTGTAATAAAGCTACGGCTCTTGTGTCTTCTATAAATTCTGGGTTGCGGCACACTACGAATGATTGGATATTGGCAGCGCACTTGTTCACATGTCCCTGAGTCGTGTGTAACTGTCTTGACAGCTCGTATGGCTAAAATGTTTTTCGCGTATAGGATAACTTTTCACTCCTAGGATTTAGTCTGTCAGCCCTACTAATTGGCAAACCAAGCAACTGAATTTCACTATCATACACTATTGACGTTGGCCATGGCAACGACATCAGGGTTTGCTGTGTTCACCACTCTTTTGAACTCCGCGATTTTATTTTGCAGGCTGCGATTATTCTGGGAAGATTTTTCCCGTACCACCCAGAGTGATTTGAGAATCATTTTGTTCCGAAATTTTACGGTATGAAGACCCTTAATTATAAGTTTTTCCACCGATCGCCTCTTAACGTGATCAACCAGGCTGAGATAATCACGGACATATATTACGCATCCAGTAAGTTTGCGTGAATCTTCCAGTACTAGGTTTCTTTCTTCAGCAGAAGAAAAGGTAACTTTTAGGGGGCGACCTTTCTGAGTACTCTTGGAACCCACATTATGTTATATTCTATAAGGTTTACAGAAGCTAACTCCCGCTACTGTTTCTGGAAGTGGCTTGCTTATTAGGGCTTAATGTGGCTTAGATCATATTGAAATATAGTTTTTGATTCCCTTACGGAAAGCTATCTTCACATTTCATAAACGACTGACCACTCAGCAATGTTCGTCTTTTACAAACCAAGAAGTTTTGTATCCTGAAATTTTCATTTCCCTGCAGTCTGATTAGGCGTCAGACGTGCAGATCTCAACCTGTTCTCTTAAATTTCTGGGTGTAACTGTGGGCTAATCAATGACTTTGTTTTTCTCCCACTTAAGTCATCTATACTGCTCGGGATTCGCATCTCCATAGCTTGTTTTTCGTTGATATGGTAGTCCGGTGCTGAAACCGTCGACTCCCTATAATTTGTTTTCTCTTAGAGTTCATTTTTTTTGTACCTGTACCTGCATCTGTACATTTATTATACACTACATTATGGGGTTCCATCTTGGTGGGTTTTTTTCGAATACAAAGCTGGACTCATAGTGACCCCCGCTGTTTCCTCGAGAACGGAAAGCTGTTCATCTGCTGCTGTCTGTTTATCTGAGGGCATCTTTCTAGCTATATTCGACAGCTCAATCGCCTCAAGAACCAGCAGAGATCTTGAAGAGCAGCATTCTTTGGACAGTCAATTTGATAGTAGCTTGCAACACCTTTTATATGCAGCCAGTGCGAGTCCGCTACACACGTTGTGATGCCACTTGTTTCAGTTGTCACATCACATTCCATCGTTGACCGGAAAGAGGCATGTAGGTCCGTCATCAAAACTGTCAAGTGATCTCACGGACAAAACCACACAAAAAACCTATTAAAGCGCGAGGAAAAAAGCAAACAAGAAAACTGATCTCTAGACTGTTTTTTAAACCTCTAAAGGTGATAGACATTAAACGCAAACGACTGAGACTTCTTCGTCACTGTAACTTAAAAATCCGACTAAAAAAATATAGGAAAGCCTTTACACTTTAGGATGCAGTCAAAGCTAAAAGATTTACTCGATGAGGGAAAATATCAGTGCTCTTTTTAATTTCCTGGAATTGAAATGATATCAGGACAGTCTGAGTCAGCTGAGCGGTCAGTCTTCGTCTTTTAACTCAGTAGACTGTAAGCAAAGGTGTAATAGGAAGTTATTCTTGTCAGACGTGAAATGCACAAATATGCATGTATTTTGATACTAATTACTGACGTCTTTACGCATGATTAACAGTTATTCATCTAACCACTGCAGGGATTTACTTAGTTGTCGAAGAAAACTAGCAATTTAAAAGTATCTTTGTCAAGCTTTACTGAAAGCGTTTCAGGAATGGAAATCTTCATAAATGAAAACAAGTATCTGTTTTTCTAAACCAAGTCTTGGTTGGTTGCTGAATACACTTGATGTGACCTTGACATTTGACGGATGCCTCACGATGGGAGTGGTATGTTGCTCAGGTGCATTTTATCGGTATTTGTCCTTATTAGTCGCTGTTTTAGGGAGTAGACTGTATTTCTGCTTCATTCGTTCAGTTCTAAACTTTAGATTATATGTTCAAATAAGTCACTGATGACCATCTCCTCTAAAATGAATTACTAAAATTATAGTACTCAATACGGAATATTACCAGTTTATATATATATATATATATATTATATATATATATATATACCGTTCTAACTAAAATACAGTCCGAGTTTTCGCATTATCATTTTCTCGTTGAACACAAATTTGCCGATAAAGTGAAAATGAATGGTGAGACAATCTGACAGTGAAAATGTTGCAAGGAAAAATTTGAAGTTTTCTCCTGTTTACTTTTTTCTTATCTTGATTTTTATGTGTAAATGTGTTATCAATCATATCCTTATTGTATACCACTCGCACAGACAGTACTTATAGATAACCATAGCATATTTTTGCTACTTTCTGATTTCTACCTCCTTTATAAAAGTATTTTGTGCTTTTTAACCAGGTGTATAGACATGCAATTCACAGTTTTTCCGCAAATTTCGACGATAGTCATTAAAGTAGTTCAGATTTTTATGCATGCTACAGACCAAATACATTAAACTCCAGTCATTAATTTACCGATGGAGTTCGTTTGATATCAGAAAGCATCACGTAGGTCGCCAACCGATAGTTAAACCTTCTTCATAGCTTCAGTGAAAATACATGCTTTTTATATAGTGCGTTATTGTGAATTTGGGAATGCTAGTTAGTAATCGTGTTGGTCTAGTTCTAGACAGTCAGTTGTCATCAACATAGAGCCCGGCATATGTGTGCATTAACTAAATTTTTGAATCGTATTAACACGAAAAGCTAAAATTGATGAGATATGCAACTATGGAAGTAGCCAAGACTATGTGAAGACTCAGCACTGAGAATAGGGTTTGAAAAAAGTACCAAAACACATGCGAAGGAATACTAAAATTCAAGACCAACAGAAAGAGAAAGAGTGAGTGCATCTGTATCATTGTGAACGATTCTGAACCATATCGCTAAAGGTGTTTAACCATTGATTACAATAATCGTGTGTGCACCAACCAGGTAGTTTGCATCTACTCACATAACTAAAACCAACAAGTAATGACATTATGGACTAATACCACTTTTCAATTTTGTCCTCCACCCGGTCCTTTTCATCTACTCATACACCAGCCCTCATTGCACGTCGAGATAGGTGGTGATCAGCCATACGTAGTACATGTCTCAACTACCTTAGTTGTTAAAGGATCAACCAGTTCGCTAACATTAACTTAAGCCTTTGGTCTTATCTCAACATTCCTCACTTCGTGATCCTAACATATGCGATCAATGTTTCGAAGGCATCTATGATCATACACAAGTAACCCATGAATATCCACTAATTTTAAAGATCACGTTTCACAGCTACCAAGTAAAATAGAACGAACTGCTACACAGTATACGCGTTCTTTGGTTGACAAACAGAAATCTTCCCTGCTCTATAGGTAACGTGAGTTGTCTTAAGTCAATAGAGTTTTCTGAATCCTGATTGAGATTTTGTCGGGTTTAGTAGTCAAGTTGACTGTGATATTAGCTAGAGTTGGAGAGCTATACTTAGTCCTATCTGACTTGTCTCAATCGCTGATCTTCCAGATTTTAAGGAAGGAATAAAATCCTGTGGTAACCACAAAGGAATCATTTTGACAAACTTAATGTCTAAAATACTGACCTTTATATTCAACCGGCACTGCTCGTGAAGAGGAAACTCGGGAAAGATAGCTGGTTTCCAAACCTTGACTTGGACGTGTAGACCAATTATTCATCCTTCGTCAGGCTTTAGACAAACATACGAACTTCCAACGATGGTATTGTTTGTTGACCTTAGGGTGTCATCCGATTCCGTTGGCTGATAGTTTTTATGGCAGTGTTTGTTATTGGAAGGTGTACCAAAGAAGCAAATCAACCTTTTACAGGATCGCTATTCGAATGCTATTGATTGAATCAGAGTTTATAGCGAGCAATAACTTTGTTAACTTAATGTAGTGTTCATCAGGACCCTCCACTATCCTCTTTTTTAAACTTTGATGTGTTCGTGGGAGTCACATTTTCTTTACCTAACTTTTCAGGGAACGATCTATCAGGAAATTATTTTTCTGACTTAGAATACTCAAACAAAAATTCTCTCTGGCAAAAAGATATATAAAATTCAGTCTTCTGATCTTGAGAAACAACTCAAGAGTATTTGGGATCTGTTTCTCTCCCTTTAAATGCAAATTTTTACTTCAGGACTGATCTACATAAACGTCTAGGCTAATGATAGGGGATAAACTATTTTAGGACGTCGACCGTTGCGATTATCTTGGAAGTCTTATCAAATCTGGTGGGTTGGCGTTTTTCTTCGTCATGTTAAGTAGTGACAACCCACTAATATCTTGAGCTCAAGATAATCAGGCAATATAATTAACGCCTATTATTTACCCCTTAAATCTAGGTGTATGCAATATGACATTGCGTAAGGACCAATGCTCTTTAATTGGGATTTTTTAAGCTTTATTACAGAGCATCTTCTTGATCAAGTTGCTAATTAGCTAAAATCTCTGGAATGTATTGTCCTACACATGTTTTCGATTGTTAAGATAATCTTTAGATTTATGGTTGATAATTCGAAATCATGTAGTGTGGCTTAGTGCTAACTGTTGACGAGATTCTCTTCAAAATTATGAAATTAGATGGACGGTTATTAATAAAACTCAGTGATCAGCTATATGCACAAATGTCTATGGTGTGGATGTTTCGAGATAAATGATAGTTGAATGTATACGTCCACCTCATTTGTTTAGGTTTTGCAAGTACCTTGATCGATCTGTCATTTTTCAAAAATGTTTCGTCTTATATGTATCATAGTTATTTAATATATAGTTATTAGCACGATATTCAGACAGTACTATGCATACGGTACAAAGTACTTTATGTCTTTCTCATCTCGAAATCGTAACAAGGTTGGAGAAAAGCGCTTACCAGCGGTTCGCTTCACACAAGAAACTAATTCTAGTAACATATTTATGTTTAATGACTTTTTCCACTCTTGTCTATACCTGTCTAGATGTTTCAGGTAAATCAGGTGGTGTCATAAGACGAACTATTTCGTCTGTTGCTCAATTTACTAAGAGCATTTAGATTACTACTACTTAGTCGAGAATTTCTTAAGTCCAAGAGTGTTTAGTTATTTTAGTGTCATTGTGATGTTACTTTTGTCCTAAATCTTAGTAAATTGTTTATGAGATTTTTTAAAAATTTAGATTTGATGGAACGTATTCGGCAAATCGTCAGCCAACAGAAGTTACGTTGCTTAGATGGTAAGTAGTCTAAATCATGTTAACTTTGTAATTAAGCAGTGAGATATGCAAATTCAATCATGTAAGTTGTCATAATATCCAAAAATCAATGAAAACACCAACGATATCTACCGGTGACTTTGTAACAGCTTAGGGTGATTGGTTAAGAGTTGATCTCAAACGACTAAGAATATGTCAAGACAATAGAGTTCGAGTATTCATTCACTTCCTCATTTTGTATAGGCGTTATATTTCCTATTATCTTATATTGAATGCCGAGAGGCTTTGTTTGTCTGAACAGGTAATCTCACGCTCCACTGTGACTGCGCGAAGATCTAAATAAAGACTTATTCACTACTAGTCTAATTTCTTCTATCAATAGCACGAGGGCTACCTACAGGCACGAAAACTTAAAACAAAAGTTAGAGTAGTTTGATAGCAACTACTGAATTGATAGATGCTCGGAAACGTATCCCATCAGTCTCGGAACACAATTATGAACGAAACTAACCTAAATATTAACTGACATCTATGCAATTTTCGTGAGCATCGATAGGCAGCAAAGGCAAAGGAGATGGAAATGATAAGGACGATAAATGATAATCGACAGCTTGTCAGACTTATCAAAGAAGCAGGTATTAAGAATTTAGGAGTTTTTAGAACTATTTTGGAAAACGATGGAACAATGATTCACTCTCAGGCCAGAAGGTTAGAACGATGGGCGGAACACTTACAAGAACGATAACTGGTTTCCAACTACCCTTCATTCGCCCACTGTTACCAAACAACCTGTATGAAATGTTAACATAGGTCATCTTACACAATAGAGTTGAAAAACCATGGTCAAATTAGAGTGACGGAAGTCAGAAGGTGGGTTATCCCCGAAGATCTTTAAGGATAGTGGTCTAGTTTTAGCACATACGTTGACTGAAGTTCGCTTGCCTACATAAGATATCATTATGTTTGCGAATTTATGGATATCCCATGATGTAGACAATTAGGTAGATTCCTTCAGCAAGTCGTACACAAGAATCGTCCTTTCCGGTTTATGGTTTACACTTTTGCTCTTGCAACGTACTTTCGCAGAATGAGGTTAATTATGGTTTACTCACCCAAATAATAAATACATTTTTTTAATTTGCACAAATATCTGCAACTTGACACAGCCAGTTATTCTGAAAGTTGTTCAAGCTACTGTTGCTAAATCTAACAAGTTCACTTTTATGTAACGTTTGTGACATAACTAATTATTATGTAGAAGAATTGTATCAATAATTTACTTTGTATTCCTGTAATCAATTCAAGTAGGTTTCTTATCAGTAGTCCTGGTTGATTTACTTTTGTTCGTATGTTCTCCGTATTTTTGAAATATCCATTCGCATTTTTAAAGTTGCGGGTAGTCTGTCAGGTAAATTATACAGACTCAGCTTCCATCTCATCAAGTGCGTCGTGACCACGTTGTGCATAGATCTCTAGTCGAGCTAGCATATCTCAGACAAATCTGGATACCAATTAATAACTCATTTTCGTAGTAAAAGGCCAATTCACAATCTCACGTTATCATAGTCACATCCTATAATTTTTCTTTAAAACACATAGCATCTGAGTATACGATATGCACAGTAAAACCGTTTACAATCGTTTTATCAATTCTTATGTTTAATTATTAATCCTTGATCAAGTCACCAGCGCGAATTACCTTGCTGTCATAATATTCTCAATTCCTGTTAGGAAGCTTAAAAGACTGAAACTGAATATATAGATTTAATTTTTGAGTGGAATCTGAATGAAACATATCTTTCCGTACATGTTAAACTATAAAGGCCAGTTGTTATCTTGAATATGTCTTCAATTTTGAATTGTAAATGTGGTTATCCTTTAACTACAAGTTACAAGAATATTTTCTTTTGAATCTGATGAGATTGGGATTTGTTCTAAACGAATGAAAAGCGTCAAATTACATCAATTGTTAAGAATATTGGTAATTCACAACTTGTCCCATCAGTTTCCGAACACGACGAAGAGTGAAAACAAATCAAATCTAAGTTAACCGAAAGTCTACGGAACAATCGCGAGCAGTGGTTGGCAACGAAAGCAAAATAGATGGAAAATTGAGCGGCTGTAGGTAATACAAGATAGCTTTTCAAAGTAATAAAAGAAACCGGAATTAAGAAGTCAAGTGTAAGTGTTACGATCTCGGAAAAAGACGACACTTATCTGCTTCCAGTCCCAGATGTTTAGAACGTGAGTTACTAGTATTTGATCACATATACTCCTATTTGCTGGGATCACCTGGTAAGTAATAGTGAGGTTAGACACATGGTATTAGGGAATGATGGTAAATCAATTGATGAGGTTGTAAATCTTCACGGATTGAGGTGGTTGGGCCACCGGCTACCACGTCGCGCAATGCTGACTAGTGTTGCGGACGGCTGGATGACAGTTAGGGACGGTCAAGCCAAAACGTAGCATCAGTCTTTGTAGTCACTAAATCATGGTCTGATCCATGTTGATAGGTTTAGACTACTTGGTTGGGGTCCGCTGGACTATCGCAACCAATGGTTGGAGAATCCGGGTGACATGGGTCACAATTGATCACAATGGCGTAGGTGTATACACTCTTCCATTAAACTATGAGATTGAAATTACTTTATACCTTCCTTTCTACAAACTAATTCTTTCTCCTCGTATCATATCCTTATATTAGATATTTTTGTTTTACTACCTTTGAAGTGACTGAGGTGTGGCAACTTGGACCGATGCATATGTATGCCTGGTCCTACGTTGTGGCTGACTGACTTACTGGTAATTCACAGATATTCTCGATTTTCTGTCATATTTCTACTCACGTCTTCGGACCACCATGTAAATACATTCGAAATGTGTATAGACCTGGTAAAGTTTTTAAGATTTGACGGTTGCTCAATAGCTTTATTTGGGAACTAAGTTCTGACTGGTTTTCATTTATTCTTTTGATTACGCAGGAGATAAATTGAACTCATCTTCAATCGCTGGATATTTGAATGATTTGATGGATGATAATCACGATAAAACTGAAGTATCTAGCAAATCTGTCACGCGCAAAGTAGCTGAAACCACTGCTCCATCTCCTTATCCAGGTAAGTAAAATGAAAGCATCATTTTTAAAAGGCTACTATTTTCCTATTTAAAAGAACAGTGTTCTGTTTTACTAGTCGTCCCGCGTATTTGTTAAATGATTGTAACGTTCAGTCTTTGGTAGGTTTGCGTCTATCCTGAAAGTACCTTGTGTTCTGGGGTATTGTGAGATGTAGTTTGTGGGAAAATCTAAAAGTGGAAAAGTGAGCCGATGACTCAGTCAGCATATTGAATGCACTTACATTTAACATTGAAAACATTGGACAACAATCAGAAATAAGATATGTTAAATTAGGACAATTCGATAACGGAAAGTACGAGTTGGTAGCGTAGGGTTTCGAATGCGTTACATAATAGTTTTTGGAAATATGTATATCAAAACAACAAAAGAAAGCTGTTGACATTCCTATAATGATTATATATATATATTAGTCTATTGAATATGAAGTGGTTACTTCTTAGTGTTTGGAAAGTTCAAGTATAACAGGTGATATGAGGGCTAAAGTAAAATTATAAAAAGTGGAAAGGCAGATTGCAATGTCAACAAAAAGTTTAAAAGTATCATAGCCACGTGAGTTGATGACTCAGTAATAGTAGTACGAATAATTAGTTATGTGTAGGTACAAAAAAAACTGACTAGTATGAAATTAATACCGTTAAAGTTAAGTTAAATTGAGTTTATTGAACTGAAATAATAATTACTAGGTTGGTTAGAAATAAAAGAACTAATTGAAGATATATTTATCAACACACAACATGCATCACCGTTTTTCTGTAAATACAATAGTTGTGTTCTAAAGATGATTATCTCTGGAAGTTTCAGTGGACTCAAATTCTGTTTATTTATCATTCGGATGACCGTCTTAATTCCTGCTATGTTATTTGTCAAGTAAATAACATGTAACTGAGCTATTCCCGACTGTTGTTGCTACCTTGACGTGATGGTCGGGCTGGCCTATCATTATGAAGGAAACGAGCTATACTGCCTGCAACAATCGTTCCTCAACGTCCTACCATGTCAGAATGGTCGGTTGAAGAGCAGTAACACTAAAAGCAACAAACCCAAGGTCCGAAGGCGAAGTCGTACTGCTGACTGTACAGAGGTGTGACAGCAGTAAGGTGTTTCCTTCAGACAACCAGCATGACAGCGATGCTGCCTTCCCACAAGGAGGGGTGAGGTTAGAAAAGGTCGACCCTAAAAATGCACACCTCGCCTTATCCCACGGATATCCGTCCCGGCGGTAAGGTCTCAACAAGTACGGAGCTAACACAAAAATTACCCATAACAAGGTCGTGTGTGACCGACCTCAAGCAGTTGTCCCTTGGGCACTGCGGTCACGCTCTCAGGTCACTAAGACCACCTTTAATCCAAATTCCTTTTCAGGTACCTCCAGAAGAACCCTTCCACGGTGTGGGCAACCGGAAAGTGAGAACCGCCCTCATACCTTTAACAACACTCAAGACCACTGCATTCATAATCAACCTTCCTCTTCAATTCCTATTATTCCTCCTACATCGACTTTCAACTTTAAATTTCCTCTCTCGGCTTCCACCTCAAGTGTCACCATAGCCAACGATTCTAGTGCGCAATATACTGTCCCAGGTCTACTGAAACCTCGCTCCAAACTACACATTGGAGCCTTCAACGTACGAACCCTATGTCAAATCGGTCAGCAGGCTTCCTTGGCTAAAACCCTCGAGTCTCTTACCATTGACGTGTGCTGTGTCTCCGAAACACGCATACAGGATTCCAGTGTGGTCATTCACTTGACCTCACCTCGGCAAAACGGAGAGCCAACGAGGTACACCCTTCGTGTATCTGGTGACCCGATGGCAAGTTCTCGTGGACTGGCAGGTGTAGGCATAGCACTAAGCATGAGGGCCGAACAAGCACTGCTAGAGTGGATCCCCGTCAACAGTCGTCTATGTGCTGTTCGGCTGAACGGCTACGCAAGAACTCGGAAGGATAGGGACACGCGTCGTTGCCTTTTTGTCGTTTCTGCCTACGCTCCCACTGACTGCAGCTCAGATGATGTGAAAGATGAATTTTACAGAAAGCTGTCCGAACTTCTTCAGAAAGCTGAACGCTCAGACATAGTACTCGTAGCAGGTGATTTTAATGCTCAGATAGGCAGTTTGAACCAAACAGAAAGGCATTTAGGTGGATATTTTAGTATTCCGACACAGCGAACAGATAATGGTGATCGTCTGCTGCAGCTATGCTCAGACAATCGTTTATTTTTAGCAAACACAAATTTTAAGCATAAGGAGAGACATCGTCTAACATGGCGACCCCCTACACCAAACCAACGATGGACTCAAATAGACCATATTGCCATCAGTCATCGTTGGAGAGGGTCGGTAGAAGATTGTCGCTATTCATCCTGTGACAACCACAGAGGGATTAGTTTAACTAATATAATATCTAAAATACTAGCCTCGATAATTATCAGACGCCTAACTAAGACTCGTGAACTGCAAACACGAGAGAACCAAGCTGGCTTTAGACCTGGTCGTGGCTGCATCGACCACATATTCATCACTCGTCAGGTTTTAGAAGACAGGAATGCTTATCGGCGTCCGGTGGTGGTGGTCTTTCTTGACTTAGAAGCAGCATTTGACTCGGTAGACCGCGAGAATCTGTGGCAATGTTTGTCATTGAAAGGCGTACCTCAGAGGTACATAAACCTTGTGAAGGCTCTTTACTCGAACACTACTAGTCGAGTCAGAGCTTATGGCGAACTGTCATCTACTTTTGCAACCTCAAGTGGTGTCCGTCAAGGCTGTCCACTTTCTCCATTTTTGTTTAACTTCATCATAGACCTATTGATGGAAATAACACTCTCGTCGACTGAGTTCTCGGGTATTGATCTCCTTCCAGGAGGTCCACTTATCGACTTAGAATACGCAGATGACATAGTGCTGTTGGTGAAGACGCTGACAAATGCAGAGCTTCTGATAGCTAAGCAACAATGCCAGATGTTTGGAATGCTTCTGTCCTCTAAATGCAAGTTGTTGCTTCAGGACTGGTCTGCGTCAACACCTGAACTAAGGATAGGGAGTGAAGTAGTTGAACGCGTTGACAACTTCACTTATCTTGGAAGTCTGATCAGCCCTAATGGGTTGGTGTCTGACGAAATCTCAGCACGGATTCGAAAAGCTCGTTTGGCTTTTGCCAACTTACGTCACCTTTGGCGAAAGCGAGATATCCGTCTATCAATAAAAGGACGAGTATACTGCGCGGCAGTTCGTTCTGTTTTAATTTACGGCAGCGAAACATGGCCCTTAAGAGTAGAAGACACCCGTAAGCTACTAGTATTTGACCACAGATGCCTTAGAAATATTGCTGGCATCTGCTGGGATCACCGGGTAAGCAATAGTGAGGTTAGACGCAGGGTATTAGGGAATGATGGTAAATCAGTTGATGAGGTTATGAATCTTCATCGACTGAGATGGTTGGGCCACGTATTACGTATGCCTGAACACCGATTACCACGACGTGCAATGCTAACCGGGGTAGGGGATGGTTGGAAGAAAGTTAAGAGCGGCCAAACCAAAACGTGGCATCAGTGCTTGAAGTCACTAACTTCTAGTCTGAGCCATGTTGGTAGATGCAGACTACTTGGTTGGGGTCCGCGTGACTTTCGTAACCGATGGTTGGAGACTCTTGGTGACATGGCTTAGAATCGATCACAATGGCGTCGGTGTTACACTCCCGTCTTCCTTAACTAGAGTAAATTCTTCATATCTTTCTTTCTACGAACTAATTCTTTCTTCCTATACTATATCCTTATTGCAACCTTTGACCTAACCACTCCTATGAATCCGCTGTTCATCTTGCTGTGCTAATGAGGTATGGCAACCTGGACCGATGCACATATGTGCCTGGTCCTACGTTGTAGCTGACTGACTGACTGAACTGAGCTATTGCTGTTCTGCAGTTTCTTTTAATCACCAAGCAATCGCTCTAATGTGCAAGAACATGAAATGGAATAAGTGGATACCTTTTTTCAAAGAGTTAGTCTGGGTTTACTATATATATCTAAACTGATAGACACATTTAAGGATATGAACATCGATTTTTTTCTGAATAATTAAACATCATTTCCCATACAATGACATCAGTTTCACCGTCGTAAATATTTTGTTGGGTACTAATGTTTTTGAGTAGTTTTAATGGAGATTGAAACATGTTGGATAGATGCGGGTGAGTCTAGTTTACTCATCACAACTCTTTCACAAAGCTCACTGGCTCGTAAAGTTTTTAGTTAGCCATTCTTCAGATGATATTTGTTATATCATTCATACTTCTGATTTTCTCAAGTGCAGTTTCTAGTTATCGTTCCATTTTTTGTGAAATACTTGATTCCATAAAATGCAACGTATTGTCAACCTAATCATGAATTTTGATATTTTAGTAAACTAATAGGATGATTTTTTATGGCATTCAATAAACGCATCGTGAACTTACGTTCTAAAAGATATAATTTATTTTGCATCATCGGATTGCATTTTTATGGTATTAAATAAATTCATGTTTGTCTGTTCAAAGCATCACTATCATTTTTATATAACAGGGTTTTCTACTGTCAATGGAGATCAAAAGAAAATATCTACAAATGAAACATATTTCAGCATATGTAGATCTGATGCGAAAGCCCATATTTTAAAACGTTTACATGGTACAAGTCCAACAAATCCGTGTGTTAGGCGCGTCTCTGCCAAAAATATACGTTCGCAACACGTTGACTCACAAATCGATACAATTCCTAATAATGTACATGCCTGGCGTCAGGGTAAAGAACTTATTCATAAATATCTTGGAACTTCATCAGGTTAGTGTTTGTTTATCGTTAAACTATATTTTATTTGTAAGACATTGTCTCAGCATATATGTCAGAGTACATTCATATTTTGTTTTATAAACTTGATACATGCATAAAACCGACCGATGATTTCGTTTACTCTATTAACAAACCATTCTCTTGATTAAACTTTCATCATCATATTACCTTAGAGTTAATAGAGATTCTGCAAACACTTGAGAGTTTCTGACTATTAGTCACTAAGGCAATTACATGTTCTTGGAATAAAAGGGAACTCAAAATCAATGATAATGTAAATGGTATGTCCATCTATCTATCTGTCAAAGTTTCGTTTGAAGTGGTTAGGTGATGGTTGTTAATCAATCAATGCTATACCAAACGATAGTAGCTGTAGAATATGTTGACAAATTTTGGAACTACATCTCAGCATGTCAGTTGACAAAACTAGCTGATAAGTCGGTAGAAAAAGGCGAGTTCACGTTTCCAGATTAGTAAATGCCATGATTCGTCATTTCTTTATATCACAGTTGTAGGCTTTGAAAATAACATGACACTAGTATGTATGTTAGATGTCTGTATAGTACTTTTGACTGGTAATTTTATCATATTCTTTCACATGTTCGACAATAACTAGCAATAATTTAATCAATTTCAGTGCGAATAACATAAAAAATTAATTTTTCACAACCGTCTGCGACATAAAATCACATTTCGAGAAGTGATTGTATAACTTAGTTGAGTAGTCATATCTGTCGGTTGTAAATACTTAATTGTATAATATAGTGAATTTATTCGCATAGTAAGTTATTGATTAATTTATGTTAAATACTACTCATTTTAATTTATACAGATCTAACTGTAAGTAAATAATATAAAAAGGGATGTATTTTCTAACTAGCTCTTTTACCACCTAAAGTTGAACCAGGATGGTCGTCAAAAACGTTTTTACGAAGCTGGCCATGAAGTACTCATTAAATGACTTAACGCAACTGACTATATAATTTGATGCTAGCTAACATATCCAAAGTTATGTCTGGACTTTTAAATACTATTGTTTGAGTTGTTGTGACTGTGAAATGCTTAACTAACTTTTGCTTGGTTTTGAAAAATCCTAATTTTACGACGCGTAGTTAAAGCACAGAGACCGCTTGTACGAACTTAAAGGTGGTGAGTTTATAAACTAAAGTTTGTGGAATTAAAAAGAACAATGCAATGACCTAAAAATTGATGTGTCTAGCATATACGCTTGTCACATGTCTTTATATCTCCACGTAGACATTAAAATGATAGACATGTAGGCAGCGCAAATACAACGACACAGAAGTACATCATTTCATATAGCTACACTTCACAACAGTACGTAAACAGAGTGCTCTGTTACACTATTCATGTTTTCTTGGATATTTTATGGCGTTTTATATTTTTCCATTCTGCTTTGGAATGTGACAGATCAAAACGGTTCGCTAAAATGGCAACCAATCTCATAATTTAGTTTCAGTTTGAGATGTTTCTTCCATAAGAATAGGTTTTATTTTTCATCGGCCAGGTTATACAAAAATAATCAACCATGTAATATATATATATATATATATATATATATAATTTATTTGTATGAAATTGTTAATTTCATAAATTTCTTCCATAGAGAGTATTGATAAACATGCGGATAAAGAAGAGCAATCTCCGAAATTAGATCATTCGAGCCCGTTGGGATTTGATGCAATCATTGGTAAGGAAAATCCAAAAATAATAAATGCAAACCAAAATGAACCGAATACAGTAAATTCGGACAAAACAAGCAAACAGATAGTGAATGCGCCGCTTGTTGCTTCCAAGTCTGGTAAAGGTCTATTTCATCCAGTTAAGACAAAAAATGCAGTAAACAATTCTTCAGGTTTGTCAACATTTTTTGGACATGCTTCGCATGATCATTTTAAAGCAAATTTTACACCTTTATTTTCCGTGTTCATGTTTACAATAGACTGGTTGATAGATTTTAAGTGAAACTATCCTATCTGATTGTTTTCGCTGTCAGAAAGTTAATTCTTAAAGGTCACGTTGCCTACATTGACACGTTCGTGTGTTCAAGTGTTTTGAAAATTGAACATTTAATTCCTTAATTTCAGCTGTTAACTGGACTGAGTTTTATGAAATTAAGATTTTTATCAAATGAAATGTTTTAATGAAGTACTAAGTTGTAAGTTATGGAGATAAATAATAGTTGGCTGTTAATAGTGTGGTTATTATCTTACGGTGAGTAATGTTTTTAAAGCATTACAAGTGTGTTTGTTTGCAGGTATTTGGTGTAAGTTTTAGTGCTTTTATGCTATATCTAAGTGGCTAGCCTGATTTAAATTTTATTTCCCAATATTCAGATGCGCTAGGATCTGTACAAAAAGATATTCATGGCTATCCTACCCCTAGAGCTCATCTTAAGGCCCTGGTCCAACAACAAAGGGAAGCTCGAAAACAGGAGCATAAACGGCAACTGGAAGCTGAAAAAAAGAAGCGTGAACAAATACAACGAAATCTACAAGCAACTGCACTAGCAGCTGCCGCTGCTGCGAAGTTACCTGTCACTGCAACCAAAAGAATGTCCGAACTTTCTCCAGTTATTCCTTTATGCTTATTTCAACCGGTCAAAGCACCTGTATTGACGGTACGTTTTAGGTGTTAAAGCCTATGAAGTGTCGGTTAGTTTTATGTCAGTTTTAAACCATCGAAGTCACTCTTTTGTTTAAATAATTACATCCATTTATTTTTCTAAACATAATTAACTTCAGCGAACTTTTATTCCAGAAAATTTACGTCATTTTAAATTGGGTCACTCAACGTTAGCATGAATTTTCGCACATTAAAAAAACCATATTTATACATTATAGATGGCAAAATAACTCGAACTGAAGCAAAGTAACTGCTAGGGAAGCCTCAAGTTATATAGTTTTATTAACAAATTTTAGTTCCTTTCTTGTAGCGATAACTTCGGTTACCTTTTTCTCTAATTCATATTTCCGAATGACTTTTGGTGTTTACTGATCGATCGTTTTCGCTTTTAGTCTGATAATTTTTCTATATCCCGAGGTCGTATTTCATTGCTGTGTATATAGTTTCTCTATTTTAATTTGTTCATTGTCAAACGCCAAGTTTCTTTGCGCTTCTGTCTCATTTTGTTCCACAGTGTAGGGGGAAATGTTGGAGTGTTTTGTGTCAGTCGTCATAGCACCGAGTTTGCGATAGGTTCCGTTCTTATTATATTAATCTCGATCATTCGTGACTAAAAATTACTGTACGCTCAGGTGAATCCCAATTTTGTAGTTTTTTGTACCAAGATCTCAAATATGCATATTCAGGCATGTTGTTTGATTAGTGGGAACCTGTAAATAGTAGTATTTAATTAAATGTTTATCTTTTTATAGTTGGACTCTTATTCTTCAGAACGAGAACAAAAACTGGAGGAGCTTCTTAGACGTGAGATATCAACACCAGAAAACCAGGTTGCTGAGATTATTCCTCCTACGTCTTCCGACCGTGATTCCACCAATTCTTCTTATCGAGATTTTATCGAAACTTTCAAAGTTAGATCTAGTTCGACGAACTCCCATGTAACTAATCCCGTCCCAACTAGTGAATCCAGCATGAAACGAAATCGAATGACTGCTGTAAATAAATATGAAGATATTAACAGTAAGTGATTATAAAAAGCCGTCCATCTATAAGTACCTTTTATTTATACATTTTCCGTGATATTCCCGAGGTTTGCTTAGTTTAATGGGGTTATTAATTGTTAATATTAAGTAGGAAAACGAACTTCACAAAACAAGTAAGAAAAAGAAGCAAATTAACTAAGTAAATTTTAGTTGTAAATAAGTTTTAAAGATTAACTAGAAATTGACTTATGTAATATAGGAAGTAAAAGACTCTTCAAACCAGTTTCTAAATTTTCGCTCTCTACTTTATCAAACGATTTGAACTTGTTCTTTTCTTTCACTTTCAGTTCATTTACACTACTCATTTCTTTCAACATATAAAGAATCTGCTTCAATGCTTATTTGTGTTGCATACCCATTCGTCTTACTATGACCTTTTTGAAAGCTATGTTAGGTATTAAAAATATCTTTTTTTATATGGGTGCTCGACAATATCGCGGAGTAGAGTTTACGAATAATCTATATCATAAACAAAGGGAATTCAGTTTATCGATCTAAATTAGTACGCTCCATTATATAGTGTTCGTCTGTGACTAATTAGTTGTGCTCATACTGATGTGCAAGTTACCCGCATCTTTAGCAAAATAAGCGTATAAATATATATATGCATATATCTCAACAACAACTGAATTAAGTGTGATACACTATATCCTGCATAATTAATATCCATCTGTTCAAGATTTTACTTAAATCGAATTACTTTACCTTATAAACTCTAATATATATACCATTTTGGAGTCAGTTCGATTTTTTTCTTTTTTGTGTGTTTATTTGCTCGTTACCTACTTCGGTTTCGGCAACCGGGCAGTATCCCAGCCTTCACACAAATCGAATGGTTTATATGGCGTATATCTATTTGGTGCCTCCTTGTGCCAATGTTTATGTGTTTATATAAATCAATTTGTGCGTTATGCTTATCTGTAATAATACTGCCTTAATTTGAACCAGTCTTAAGGTATTTTCTAAGAAGATCAGACTAGTTGAAGTATACATATATGTAGAATTTAGTTTAGTTTAGTTTATTTTACTCAGCATAAAATCTCAATAAAAATAGATTTTATTGACATTATTAAATACAATCCAATTCATTCGTTAGTACCGAGTTTTCATAACTACGTCTTTTATGTACTGTGCAGTCAAATCCATCGTAATAAAGCACCTGAAATTGATTGTAACCAGGAGACTATCTTGGCTTCTCCAAATTTCTATGTATAAATATATATGAATGAGAAATGGTTCTACGGTAAGTAAATAATTAGCTTAGGTCAAGAAACTTATATTCATGATGATAAACTGTGCAACATCAGTTAACTTCTATCACTGACAAGCATAAAATGAAAATGGCGTCATGGATAAAAAGTGTGTCAAACAGTTAGAGAATATTTAGTTTACAATAAGTTTATGAAATACTAGAAAGAGAATTGTTCTAATGAGTGGCATTTATAATACATATGTACATATGTACTATAATTTTAATTACTCGTGTATCCGTTATATAAGCAATGCAATTTTAGCACATAAAATGATTATGTATATAGTTGATTTTATGGCACCCGGGCAGTATCACAGCCCTCACACAATTCAGTGATAACTACTACTGGCCTCATTGTTATTGTGTGATGCATATGTATTTGGTGCCCCCTTGTATAAATCTTTATGTGTTCAAATAAATAAATGATTCAACGAATACACTTTCTTGGAGTTGCTCAGTTTTATTCTTCGTATTATATGATGTTTTTTAACTGAGTAAAATTTTCACACATCTGTATCAAAGCTATTAGTCATCGACCATTATGATGAAAAACAAGAGCAAGTAAACTCATCTACCAGGTGAATTGGGTGTTAGCCGTACTCCAAGTGTAAATGCCAGTGACACCGTATGGTCGTCCGAATCTAGTTAGGTGTGGCGGGATTTGAACTTAGAACTTAGTGGCTGGAAGTCGAACGCCTCAACCACTAAGACAGCTATACATTTCTTTATTGTTTTATATATGTTTGGTAGATTTTTGTTCAGATGAAGAGAGAAGCATTCTCCAGTTTGCATATCTGGTATGTATTTTCTTCTTAGTTTCTAGACCACCAAAATGTGGCAAGCTGAATAATAGTTATAGCCGTTCAATACAGACGAATAGCTGTAAACAAATGTTTAATTCTATTCCTCCAAGCACTGCTCCACCAAAAAACTATTTGAATGAGAAATCATCGCATATGAAAAACTTGCAAGTCGAAACAGTCTCATTATCACCGACTAAGCATAAGTTTTGTTCAGCTGGCTCTCATACTACTCGTAAGTAGTATTATTGAAATATTGTGATTGTTTTATTGTTATTACATATAGTCGTGTCTCAAATTGTTCCCTTCACTAGATGTTTACCCTTTAATTAAAAAGCGCCTTTTACTGAGGGACTAAATGGATTTTTATGTTCACTAATATGGCTTATTTACCAAATAAAAGAGTGTAAGTCCTCACTTTTAGATCGCATAATTTTCATTATGCCTGCTAATGATATCCATCTACCTAAACCAAAATATGTTGTGTACGTTTCAGACTTGTGACGTATCGATTGAAATGCTACTGATTTATTGCCTCACGCATTATTGTAGACTTTTAATTATACATATGCTTACTGTTAAATCTACCGAAGCATCCGACTACACAGCCGAGATATGCATAAACATCCAGGTCCCAAACACATTTTATCTATTATTACAAAGTACAAGTAAATTGGTTACAAACCTCAACTTGTGAGGTGTCTATGGTTGTAAACACGTTTGTGTATATGAAATGAGAAACGCTTTTTTCAATAATTCTATTAAAATTAATTACAACATGGAGTGAATTACAGCCGTTAGTCAATGATGACTAACAACAATCAAATGAATAACAGTAGAAAATATGAACTCTGTTGCCTTTTAATAAAGTTTCATGGAATACAAAAATTTGGAATGTAACTGTTAAGGAGTAAGTATTTGGGAATATTAACCGAGAACAATTGCACGCTACAGATTACTTGCTCAAATGCTGTGAGAAATGATACGGATTACTGAATAATCGTTAGTAGTATAACTTAACACACGAAAACGGTTTAAGTAGGAGGCCAATAGATGGTGTAAACGAAATTAACGGAATTGCCGAGACTATAATTTGTGGACGACCTTTGAACGGATTACCAGTGATCTTGAGAAATTTCAGCCAATCAGAAATCAGTCGGTATCGCGTAAAAATATATTATGCCAAGCCAAATAATTAGAGTGAATACCTTCTTCAACATGGTTTAAAAACTTCTCAATGTTAGAAAAAGACTGACGTACTGAAATCGTAATGCTTAGAATACAGGAACTCATCCATGTGACTATAATAGTCGACCTCTGGAGCCACGGAATTAATCTAATTTAAATTTCAAATAAATTTTGGCCGATTATAATAACTTGGTGACATGTTTTTGTTTTTGTTTAATGCTAGATTTTACTGTTTCTGCGAAATTTACAGGCTTCAAACTTTATGAAATATAACTCGAACAATCCATGTCATAGACCAATTATAGTTTTACAAATAGAGGCCTAACACATTTCATTTCAATGTTTGTTCTGTATAATCACTCTCCCTCAACTTCATCATTTGTAACATAATCATTTCATAACTCGGTCATGAATTTTTTCAGTTTTACTATCAAACTTCTTTTAATTTTTTTGATAAAGGTTTTTATGAATCTGAATTACCAAAAAGGTCTCTTCATCAAGATACGGAATTTCAGGTTCCCGTTCCTTTTGCAGGAAATGTGTCAACACGTCCGAGAACCGGTGTGAATGTTACTCGTTGTCCTGAAGCACTACAAAAACGGTAAAAATGTTCTAGGAGTATATACATCATTTTTTGCAGACTTTCATTTTAAAGTTGATCTTTGTAACTTATCTGATTCTATGGTTTCCACTTTTTATTTAACCAGTAACTATTGTTTTGACATTACTATTTTATTGGTCAGTAAAAATTTAATCGATTTACTAGGTTAGTTCCTTTTTTGGATTAAGTCATTAATTATGTTCATTCAGATAATGGCTTTCACGCTATCAAAATCTTCTTAGATACGTTATCAATTTCAATACCGAGATTGCTTTTCAATATGTGATTCTACCAATTTGAATAGGTTTTTTAGATTAATAATCGTCGCGATTTTTATTGTCATTTTCTTTACTAGTTTATTTCCCTCGAAAGAACGTACTGTCCCATATGCAAATAAATCAAAGACTATCTGTGATCAGGTTACGGAAGCTGCGCGTCTCGATATAAAACTGAGCGCACAACGTGTAAAGCACATGCTTTTTGTTGATTCTGACGATGATGATAATGATGATAATTCTGATGAGGATCAATGTTTTTATACAGATGATGGGGTTAATTCCTCAGTCTCTTCGTATGAAACAATTCAAAAGCCAACTGTAAGTATTTGGAGACGTTTAGAAGCTGTAGGGGCTAGTGATTCGGAGTTAGAAGAGAATAATGTTTGTATCGTTGAAGATATCAAGGTTGGTCTGTTTATTTAACATATTTTATAAAGTATCATTCTAAATATTTCAGTTGATTAAAATCAATCACAATGGCATAACTCCATCCACTCTTTATTTTCTTAGATCTTGAGTTTCAAAATTATTTTATTTCACAAATTAATTCTTTCTTCTAATATGTTATTTTTGTCCAGTCTTTTTTATTTTCATTGGTACTACTATTACTTCTACTAATTTAGTATTCATCTTGACGATCTCATCTCTGTTCTGGTGTAGTATGGCAACTTTGGCCGATACGAATGTGTGCCAGATTCTACGTTATTTATGACTGACAAACTGAATAATCAAACAAATATTTTTAGATCGCGTATGAATTTTTTTTTTCATTTTAGTAAATTAAAAGTCAACCTTTTAGATGTATCTAGGCATATAATGTAGAACTCAAAGAATCCAGATTGTTTTGTTGCAGAACGTTTTTTTTATAATTTCGGTGTTACTTTTATATCAAAGAAGTACGTCTTAGGTACCCTCAACAAGTTAAATAAAGGTTGTGAAGGGATATTTTCTACAAATGTAGTAAAAATGTCAATTAATCTTGTGCATAGAAGCTGTTCACTTTCACTCAGTCAACTAAATTTCAAATTCACTCGTCTTTTTTCAGAAAGAAGATATTTCCAACCATTTTTCTGCTCTCTTTGGTGATTTTCGTGATGTGATCTAGTTTTACCATGATAAATCTCTTTTTCTTGTGACGTCTAATAAAAATGAAATAAATTTCACTTGCCGTTCATCACCAACAATTTTGACTTTCTACATTGGAGTTCCTAAAACTACTAGAAGAACTAAGGCGTACTCTCAAAAAATAGTCAATATGTCTTATCTTCGTTGGTAACCATCAGTTTGCGACGCGATAACTAAAACATTGAGTTTTTGAGAGCTTAAGCATTAGTTTCATGTAACTCATGAGTTTTAAATAGTAATTTTTCGATTTTACAAACTGTTTATTTATTTAGGATGAAAAACCTGTGATTGTGGATAATGTATCTCAGCATTGCTCAACTTCTTGGAAGTATAATGCCAACATGAACCATTTTCTTCATTCTGGCTTGAATAATTTTATGGGAGACATTCGTGCTAAGAATGAATTTCGAAATCTCATTTATAGTGATCCTTTACGTTTCGCTTCTGTACACAAACGCCAACAAAAGCTATTTCTTAGGTAAACTTCAATTTCAATCATATATGGATATGTTCAGTTTTATGTTCACAGTGTTTAAGAAAAACTTAAACTGAAATATTATTTATATTTCTAGAGTAGGAAAGAAACCTTTCAAATCTTTGGGACCACAAGTAAACAGTATAGAAAAGGTAGAAGTTCACGAAAAGAATACAACAAATGGAGATAGTTCACTTCATTCTCGAGAGAAGATTGATAAAGAATCACTAGTTGTCAAATCGAATACTCCCAGTAATACCAACATTCAAGCAGTTAATGTGAGTTAGATTATGGTTAACAATATCAAATGGATCCGTATTGTATTGACTTTTACAATTTATTTGACTTCCTTTTTATGCTTATTAGGTGGAATGTACAGACTCAGGAGATCAGAGTTCATTATCACATACTGCTTGTTCCATCAGGACGAAAGCACAGGAGTTATTTATAACAGAAGATAAATCCGATTCCCAGGCACTCCCTACGAATCATCAAAAGACTAATAATTTTATAAATAAAACTATAAACTCTTCTCAACTGAGGCTAACACCCGCTGCACTTAATCTCCAGTTAGCCGCTGAAATGAATTATCTTGAAACACTCTCTGGTTCGATGCAGCATATTGCTGATATGGAGTCTCTTCGTCAGATTACCGCTGCTCAAACCGAATGTGTTAGCCTAGCACAGTTGCTTAAGGTGAGTAATATTTTTTAAATGTATCTCACCAAAACGACATCTGAAGGATTCACGTTTTGAAATTTTGGTTTATTTGAGTACAAATACTCTGAGTGTATTATGTTAACTGTTTGAATTTACTCGGGACACTACTGTTTATCGTTCTTTATTTAACTCAATCATTGTATGTACTTTTCTGGGAACACGATTTGTGTGACCATTTACATTAACTAGTTAGAACAGATTAGTTGACAGTTAACGACGTACTTACTGAACGTGAATAACAAGTTAATTTGTACAATTTTTTGACGCAAGTGTAAAATAACATTAAATAGAACTAAATTACATATCAAAAATTGTTGCCTTAAAAATAATACATCCCATTTTTCAAAAAAGATTAATCTGTCATCATTCCTAATAATGAAATCACGTTTAATGGGTAAAGAAAACTATCAACATTGAATTATTATTATTATTATTATTATTATTATTATTATTATTATTATTATTATTATTATTATTATTATTATCATTATTATTACAATATTTCTTTATGATGTACCCCTAAATCTTATTCTTAACATAATCAAGGCTCGTGAATTGCAGTTATCATCGAAAATTGGTGATCAGATGTTGGAGAAAGAAACACAAGGTGCATTTGTTAACCCTAATGAACCAGGTCGTCTGATTTCTGGAGTACATTCACCACAGTTTGAAAGCGTATTAAAAGCTGCTGAAGAATTTGATAAGGTATTCTCTCATAACTTTTGTACTCTAATTTACCAGTCCGTATATATTTGTGTATATACTCTGAGAGATAAGGTTTTTTTACTTATTTTAAACAGTATTGAGCTTAGTACGATATACGTCGTTAGTACTGAGAAATAGGAGAGGATAAAAAACGATTATGGATTACGTAACGTTAATTTGGTGGTCAAACCTTTGGAATAATAACAATTTAGCGTAAAGTTCATATCCTAACCCACGAATGTTGACTTGAGCAGTTGGACGTTGTCACTAGACCCTCCCTGCGCTACTACACAATGTAAATCAATGTCAAGTGCTTAACCATTGTGCTCGGTATGTAATTTATTAACATTGACAGCATGGATGCAACTAGACGATTTAGACTTCATAGATGACCTTACTCTCCTATCCCATACACATCAATAAATGCAGATGAAGACAACTAGTATGACAGCAGTCTCTGCACCAGTAGACCTAATCACACACAAGAGCAAAAGCAAGATCCTGAGGAACAACACAGCGAACACAAACCCCCAAATGCCCTGAGACAGCCAAGGGTGAGGAGAGTCAGCTCTCTCCTTCAAAATGCTCTCACATGGCCAGGCGTATACAGCCGCTGTTAGGGAAGCCCTACTTACTTTCTTCTCGTGTCGAGGGTGCTATTTATAAAATTGAGAGCACGAAAAGTAAATGTCTTGTGCATTGATCGGGCTAGTGAACACGTAGGATCCACCGCTGATCGGTGGCCGATGCTCCTCCACGAGGGGAGACAGTCTTATGTAAGTTAGCAAGATAATTAGGTAATCCAAACTCCCTCTTTACCACAAACTCTACCTTTTTCCTTAGCATATTTTATATATTTGTCTACTATAATTCGTTTAATTCTAAATTTTTGTTTTCCTCGTTTAGATCGAACGTCGTCTTAGTGTAAGAACTTCACACTTGGATGCGATTTCCTCCTGTTCTACCGAATCACCATCTGTCGACTCAAATATTACAAATGAAGCAAATGTTCATAAGTCTTTAAATGGATCCATTTCAGGTACTGTATCTTGTAAAGATATGTTGTCTGATATGATGAGTATCATGTCGAAATATGTTTTTAAAAAAATGTATATTACGTTTTAGTTAATGGTTTGTTCGTACTCGGTTTGTTAAACGTATTTCGTTTTGCCAGTAAATTTGTTAACTATATTGCACTGTGAGGGGTTTTGTTGATTATTCACAGTCTTTCTTTTTCGAAAAATCTTTTTAAAATCATTTTATATATTTCCCTTATAGAATCCAGTGCAAACAAACAACGGTTTTCCACAGGAAGCGATAAAACACTTTCAAATGATAACGTCATTAAATCGATTTCAGGAGGTGTTGTAACGGCTTCTGATTCATCTAATGAACCTTATCATCCTATCCCTACTGGCACTACTGTTGCTTCTATGACTACAACTGACAAAGTTTCTGAATCAGGAAGATTGACTGTCATGCCATCATCATCATCATCGCCTAAATTAAATAATCCCATTAATGTTAAAGAAAAGTTAGAAGTAGGTAGATTTTTTTCATCTGAGTAAATATTCGATGTTTTAAATTCTTTTTTCCTAAACCTTAATTTAAGAAGGTTGTTTTATTATTGAAATATATACTAATTATCAAGTTTCTTATGTAGATCATGATCACATGTGACCTTTTAGAGAACTTTTTTCTAAATTTTTTGATGGTTAAGAGTAGTTTTCTTAGACATTATCTCTTTCACTTCTGTTGTCGGGAGTTCGCAGTTAGGCTAAACTTCACAATGTTTTGGAAGTTTTTAACTATTCTTCTTAAGTACAGTATTTAGTTTTTAGCATTTTAAATTTTTGATAATTCGATGGTTAATTAATGTTTATTTAAGTGAGTCTTTTCTAGTTTTGTAGTTGTTACTCGTCTTTTCTTAATCAATTAATTGTATTTAATTCCACTTAATACAGAAAAAGAAGAAAATGTCAGTGGATTTTAGTGAGGACGATGAATCTATGAAGTCATATGGTAAAGTTACCAATGAAGAACTTCAGAAAAAATCAAATGATCAAGTGCTAACTAAACGGAAAAAGTTAAAACGATATTCGCGAGATGAAAAACCACATATGCAATCGACAGATATTCCTATGTTAAATCTATGCGCCATCATGTCGCATAATAGCTCTCGTCAAAGTGAAAGGAATCAAAAATTCAATCAAGTGAAATAGTAAGTTATTTGTATTTTAAAATGTATATATTACTTGCAGTTTAGTCGTTCAAATAACTAGTAATGACAATGTAACTCATTATGTGTAATATTTTTGCACTCAGTTTTGGTCTGTGCTTATGTCAGAGGTAATCATAATCTAATGAGGGTGTTCCTTTTATATTCTTTTATATCGTTTGTTTGTTGCTTCTCTGATAATCATCAGGGTTAGCAGACATTCTGATGTAAGTGTTTCTTAGGATCACTCTCAATACATCGATATTTAAGAATCTAATAGTTGTACCATTCATCTTCGGCTATCGGCCACGCCACTGAACAATTAAATGTCAGTCTATGTCTAAGTTTTTTTGAAAGAATATTGTGATAAAGTACAATTGTTCCGTTGTAGATGTTCGGTTCGCGTTGGCATTTTTCTATTTCGTATAATTTGGTGGTGATTTGTTGATCAGAAGAATATGTTTCGCAGTGTTAGGATCTCCTGGATAGAATTTTTGGAGACTATGGTTTTTAGTAAGAACAATAATAATAATGTCACAAATAAACCATCCAGCTCATTGGGAATCAAACCACCGAAATATGTTAATCATGCTACTTGAATGTTTAGACGGAAACAGGTAATAGGATGTTGGAATTTAGACATCGTCATTTGATCACATCTTTCTCTAATCCATATTTTAATTATCACTTGCTATGTTTGTTATTTATCGATTTATTCTCTCGTAATTTCAGTGCTTTGAATAAGCGTGTAGCGGCTTTACAATCTAGGCGTAAGAAAGCTGAAGAGCTTTTAGCGCTTTCTAAAAATATTGAACTCGAAGAGGTCGAAGTTGTTCGTTTAGAACGTGAAGCCTTGAACGTAAGTATTGTGTTTCCTTATTGCGATAACTTTTTAGGAAACTCATCATGCTCTTTTTAATATACTGTATTGATTCATATTAATTGTGAGATGGTGATAGTTTGTATTAAGCTTTCGGCATCAATGCTATAGCCTTATTACAACGTTCGAGTTATTCGTATTTCACAAATGTAATTATTCCCGCCATCAATTCTTGTGTTGCCTAACTGTTATCAAAAGAAATAATGTTTTATTGCATGCAATCTAGTCTTATTTATCGACCTATCATTTTTTTTAGATACATCCAATTTTATTTTTACGTTCTTAAGAACTATGAACACATAGGGTTTATTATAACTTAAGTAGATTTTGCCTACCATAAAATGTCGAGTTGTAAAGCGAAGTGTGTGGTGTAAATTTCTTAGAGTTTGCTTTTTGTTTTTCTATTCATGTCTTACTAGGCTATCCAAAGTAAACGTTTAGCTTTGCATGAAAATCGGTCCCAGTTATCAAACGATAATGAATCGAAAAAATATTCAACATCTAGTCATTGGTCGAAGAATAGTGGCTCTAAACATTGGAGATCGAATTCTCACTCACCGGTTTGTCAACGTTCCAATTATTCGCAATATAGTGATGAACTTGGTTTAGAAGAGCCTGGTGATGACAAAACTAATTCTGAGCGATTTCCTACAGCTTCATTGGGCAGAAGTTCTAGCTTGTTAAAATGCGATAGAACCAAGTATATTATTTCATTAAAATGAATTTATTATAGTCTAAGATATGTTACATACCTACTTATTTACCCCTGTTAACCCTCATGGAGGAGCATCAGCCTCCCACCGGCATCCTCCATCGAACTCTGTTCTGGCCTCTCGTTTCCAGTTGTTTTCAATGGTTATTCATTCCTTTGATGCCCGTTTCCAATTTCCAACGCAATGTTTTCTTCAGTCTTCCCCTTTTACTTTTGTCTTCAGGATTGCAAGTTAGGCATTTCCTCGTGATGCAGTCGGATGTTTTCCGTAATTTATGACTTTTCCACCTCCAGAGTGTTCTCCGAATTTCCTTCTCAGATGGTAGCTGGCTTGTTCTCTGACACAGTAGATTTTTGCTGATGACATCCGACCAACGGGTCGGGAGTATCTCATGTAGACAGTTGTTTATAAATACCTGTACATTTTTGATGAAGGTTGTAGTAGTTCTTAGTACAGTAGAACTGTCTTGCTGTTTGTGTTGAAGCTTCTGACCTTGGTGTTGATTGATAGTTGTTTTGAGTTCCGTATGTTCTTCAGCTGTGGGGATGCTGCCGTTGATTTGCCAATCCTTGGCCTTAACATCTGCATCATATACTCCTTGTTTGTCGATGATGCTGTCCAGATACGTGAAAGTTTCCACATCTTCCGTAACTTCTCTACCATGTATGATTGTTATTTATTTATTTAGACACATAAATACTGGTAAAAGAAGACACCACATACATATGCGTCTAATCCACAAGGCAGTGGACCAACGTTAGGAGATTCAGTCCGATGGTAGCCGGTGACCAACAATATGTTCATACGCCTTTTGATCCCATGGAGTCCTAGATCCCTACGTGCACCAATATTTTGGAATCAGGGTTTCCTAACTTCCTTAAGTGGATCCTACGAGTCCACCTGCCCGGTCAAAGCACAGGACATTCAATTTCCGTGCTCTCAATTTTATAAATAGCACCCTCGACACGAGAAGAAAGTAAGTAGGGCTTCCCTAACAGCGGCTGTATACGCCTGGCCATGTGAGAGCATTTTGAAGGGGAGAGCTGACTCTCCTCACCCTTGGCTGTCTCAGGGCATTTGGGGGTTTGTGTTCACTGTGTTGTTCCTCAGGATCTTGCTTTTGCTCTTGTGTGTGATTAGGTCTACTGGTGCAGAGACTGCTGTCATACTAGTTGTCTTCATCTGCATTTATTGATGTGTATGGGATAGGAGAGTAAGGTCATCTATGAAGTCTAAATCGTCTAGTTGCACCCAAGCTGTCAATTGTATTCTGTGATTCTCGTCAGATGTGTAGGTCTTAATCCAGTCAACCACCAGAAGAAAAAGAAAGGTGGAGAATAAGTAGCCTTGTTTGACACTAGTCCTCACTTGGTATACATCTGTCAGCTGTCCTCCATCTACGAATTTGCAGTGTGGTCCGTTGTATGAGTTCTGTATGTTGTTCACTTTCTTCTCAGGTACACGATATTGTCAAAGAAGGTTCTCTTATCCACACTGTCATAGTCAAGGAAGTTGATATACAGTGACGTGTTCTCTTCGATTTATTGTTCATTGATGATCCAGTGTCGCGATTTGGTATGTGCGCGACCGATCCTTACGAAATCCAACCAGTTTGTTCCGAAGTTGAACGTCTATTGAATCTTTCATCCGGTTCAGCAACACTGTTTAAAACGTTTCCTCGTACCAATAGTTGTGTAATGCCTTTTGTTTTCGTATTTGCTGAGATCTTTCTTTGATATCCTGATGAGGTATCCTTCTTTGCAGTCTGTCGAAACTTGTTCTTCGTCGTACTCGGTGTTGTCCATCCCGACTTCGGCGTTTAAATCTCCCATCAGGATTGTCAGATCCTTTCCTGAGCACTTTTCTACGATCGACTGCAGCTTCTCATAAAACTGATCTTTTTCGGCGTCGTTGCCATCATTGATGGGTGCATAACATAAGATAACATTCATTGTGATTCCCTCCTTTGTTTTGAATGATGCTTTGATAATTCTGGATCCATGAGATTCTTATCTTATAAATGCTTTTCTTGCTTTTTTGAAGAGCATTTTCTTCATGACCAGAGTACAACACGACTTCTCCCGAAGTTGGTCTTTTCTGTCCAGCTTGGGTCCAATGAGTTTCGCTGATTCCGAAAACCGTCAAGTTGTATCTCCTCATGTCAATAGCTATTTGATCGGTCATCATGGTCTTTCACATTGTCCGAACATTTCATGCCCCTATGTAAATTGTTGCTCTGGTTGTTAGAAGGGGTACCGTCCTCGTGACTTCCGAAGGGTCTCGGCATTCATCTTGAGGCATCATAATTGTTCTGGAAGAAGACCCTTCTCGCAAGACAGAGTTTAAATGGTTTGAATTGTTTTTTTCCGATTAGCGCTTTTTTAGTAAGTTTGTTTTCTATGGGATGGGGTTGCCAACCTGATGCCTAACGCTCCTTTATCCGTGTTTGGTACCGGCAGTAACCTTAGGAAATAAAATACCATTTTTAATTATAAATCGGTTTTTCTGCTCTTCTGCCGTAAATGGTTGTTAAATGTTTGAAACATTCATTTCCGATAATTCTGGCTTTTAGCAAATTTTATTTCATATACATATTTCTTAGTCAGTTACCACCTTATAGCGTAAATTCCACTGTCACTTTAGATAATTTTAATGTAACTCGTTTATTAAGTAAACATTTGTTTAATTGTACGATTATATACTACAAATTTTGGTGATAGTACTCGGCTGCTGTAACTGAGATTGGTAGGAGTTATGTCCATACATTTGAAAGCCAAATACTTTATACTTTAAGCCACTACTTAACTGTAGTTCACTTTATGTTTTATCAAATTCTGCTTTCAATAAACTGTCATTTCTAGGAGGAAGTTTGACTTAGATTAGGATTTTGTTGCGCAAGAAAATACTCAGAAGATTCTCTGGAGTTTCATTGAATTCCATTGAACTTGTTAATGTAGCGAATCAAATGGCTCTGATTTTTATGTTTAGATATTTTCATCCATCTACTTTAATTACTGCATGAATGTGTGCCCATAAAATTTGTTGATTTTGTGAAGTTGAAATTTCTAAACATGCTTGTAATATCAACTTAGCAACACCCACCTTTATCTTAGCGTATATTTTACCTCTGATTTTAATATATAGCTCCAATACTGCTTCTGAATGCTCCACTGCTCGGACAGTGTCTACTGCTACAGATTTAAAATATTGCAAGTCCGACTCGGATTCAAACCGATCAGTTTCACATTCTGAGAAGCATCATTCCAATAATTATAAATTAATACCAAATCGATGCAATGAGAAGTGTGCATCAAATTTATTAAGCACTGAAAATGATGATAATGTTAGTCGAGTTTCCAAAGTTTCAAATTGTTTTCCAAAATTTGATATTGGAGGTGAGCTTTATTATTTTTTAAAAGGTTGATGCTACTCACCAAACCTACCTTTTAGATTTTCATAGTATAGATCACCGACTAATCTTAGTCGAACAATCATTGAAAAATAGGACTTGCTGGATAACCGATTTCTACGTTTCGGCTAGAATTCGGAGATCAAATCAAAAGATTTTGGTGCGACGTGGACTGAAGATTGTATATTTCATTTAAATTACTTAAGAAATCAAGCTAACTCGTTCAGCAAGTACTTGGGTATGAGTCACACTGTCAGGGTGAGAGCTAACGATACTACCCGGTTGTCTAAACTAAAGTTGGAAAAGTGAAGTTCAGACCTAAAACTCAATAGTTAGAAGTCGAGTCAGTCATCTACAATGTACGATCAGACACATATATACATCAGTTCAAGTTGCCACACCTCATTAGCACAACAAGAAAGAATTAATTCGTAGAAAGAAAGGTATAAAGTAGTTTTAATATCATAGTTTAAGAGAAGGCAGTGAGTGTATACACCAAAACCATTGTGATCGATTCTGAACCATATCACCCAGAGTCTCCAACCATTGGTTACGATAGTCACACGGACTCCAACCAAGTAGTCTTCATCTACCACCATGGATCAGACCAAAAGTTAGTGACTTTATAGACTGATGCTACGTTTCGGTTTCGCCGTCCCTAACTTTCTTCCAACCATCTCCAACACTAGTCAGCAGCGCGCGTCGAGGTAAACACTCTCCTGGTACACATAACACGTGGCCCAACCATCTCAGTCGATGAAGATTAACAACCTCATCAACTGATTTACCATCATTACCTAATACCATGTGTCTAACCTCACTATTACTTACCAGGTTCTCCAAGCAGATGCTGGTAATATTTCTAAGACATCTGTGGCCAAATACTAGTAGCTTACGTTTCGCAGCCGTAAAGTGAAGAAGAACTAACTGCTTAACAGTATACTCGTCCCTTAATCGATAGACGGATATCTCGCCTTCGCCATAGGTGGTGACGTAAGTTGGCAAAAGGCGAACGAGCTTCTTGAATCTGTACGGAGATTTCGTCAAACACCAATCTATCATGGTTGATAACACTTCCAAGATGAGTGAAGTTGTCAACACGTTCGACTGCTTCACTCCCTATCCTTAGTTCAGGTGTTGACGCAGGCCAGTCCTGGAGCAACAACTTGCATTTAGATAATGAGAAACTCATTCGAAACATCCTGGAATTGTCGCTCAGTGCCACCAAAGCACTCTGCATTTCATCAGCGTCTTCACCAAACAGGTCTATATTATCTGCGTATTGTAAGTCGATAAGTGGAACTCGTGGTAGGAGATCAAACCCTGAAAACTCAGTCGGTGAAAACTTTATTTCCAGCAGTAGGTCTGTGATGGTCTTAAACAGAAAAGATAAAGTACAGCCTTGTCGGACATCACTTGAAGTTGCAAATTCAGATGACAATTTTCCATAAGTTCTGACTCAACAACTAGAAATGCTCAAGTGAAAAACGTTCACAAGGTTTATGTAATTCTGAGGTACGCTTTTCAATGACAGACACTGACACAGAACCTCTCGGTCTACAGAGTCAAATACTACTCTGAAGTCAAGCAAAATCGTCATTGTCGGATACCGATAAGTATGCCTGTGTTCTAGAACCTGCCGAATAGTGGCTATGTGGTCAATGCAGCCACGACCAGGTCTGAAATCAGCTTGATTTTCTCGTATTTGTATTTCTCGAGTCTTTGTTAGGCGTCCAGTATTTATTGAGGCTAGTATTTTAGATGCTATATTAGTCCAACTAATCCCTCTATGGTTATCACAGGACGATTCTGACCTCTTATATATTGGAACAATCAGTGATTGCGACCAGTCAGATGGGATTACGTTCAACTCCCAGATTTGAGCTAACAATTTGGTCAACCTAATCGCAAATATTTGACCACTATTCTTGAAGACCGCTGGAGTTAATCTATCTTAACCAGCTGCACTCCTCGTTTCAGTTTGGGTAAAGCTTGTTAAACTTAAATAATAGTCGGAAGGAAGGCCAATTTCCAGGTTCCATTCAGGTTGTCTGGGAATGGTGAATAGTTTTAGAGTAGCTGAAGGCCAGCTGAACTGCTCCTTGAAGTGTTTTAACCATCGTTCTAAACATCTGGACTGAGAGCAGATAAGATTGTCGTCTTTTTCCGACATCGTCTCGCTTACACTTGACTTCTTAACTCTAGTTTCTCTTATTAGTCTGAAAAGCTGTCTTATGTTACCTACATTCGCTGCCTTTTCCATTTCGTTTGCTTTCGTTGCCCTCCACTGTTGTTTATGCTGTCTAACGCAGTTTTCTTTCAATAGATGTAGTAAAATTTACAATTGCATTAGCATAAATACACGAGCTAAATTTGCGTTTTTCTTCAGCTTTTGAATTCCACTGTCAATTGTATTGAAGCTAGAGTAGCGAATAAATAGAGACAACAAATATAAAACATACATATTTAAATGCCTAGTTGTTTCTAATTTTCCTAATTCTGTTAAATGATTTTTATATCTTGTTCTTTTATGGTAATTTGTCATTGCCTCAGTTATACATTTATGGTAGCAACAAGAAAAGTATTGAGCTTAATCTGTGATTTTTCTGGTTAGAGTAATAATTTAAGTTAATCTCTCTTGTTTCAGTTGAAACTACACCATCCTTACGTAATTTGTTAACCTGCGAAGTCGCTACACCATCACTAGATCGTACTATGACTCCGACCTCTAGACACGTACGTCAGCGTTCAAATTCTCATGATTCTGGTCGTCGAAGACGTGTCACTGTCCTTAATTCAGTCGATTCAATGGATGAGGATGGTCGATTGTTTGGCGTTGGAGATGATGAACCATTTTCTACAGTATCGGCCAATTCACATTCCGATCTCAGTGAATTAGAATCACGAATTCAAGCTCTGAATTCCAATCTAAAAAAACAGGAAAGCATTTTATGTCGCATCAATGTAGAATATAAACGTGTTCATAAAGATCGCCTAGCAAGATTAGAATCCACTTTGCTGAAACATAGACAGGTAATTTTAAATATTCCATACAGATTATACTATTTTTGTTATCTTACCAGTTTGATTAATTTTCATGAGAACGTTTTAATCACTGAAATAACTTATTGATTGATGGTGAGAAGTGATTATATGACTGTGTTATCTACTTATCACCCTCAGTTTGTCTTGACGCAACTTCGTGACTTGTGGAACTAATCACGTAATCTAAAGGTTTAAACGTTAGTAAGGAGAAGGGTAAAAAATAAAGCTATTTATGGAAGCGATTGAATAAAGAAAAATAATTAAACTTTATGATAAGAGGCTCATTACCACAAATCACTGTTACTTATTATGATTTACAAATGTGTAATATAGATTTCATCCTACTTTTAATTCTCAAGTAGTGTAAAAGAAAACGTACAAATGTAAGGAGCTGTAGATGAGCCGGAAAATCGAAAAGAATATTATTTCTGAATTGTCTAAAATTTGAATAGTGAATTTCAGATAAAATGGTCTCCATAAACATGCCACCATCTTTCAATAGAGTTATTAGTGTAAAATATATAAGTTACTTGAAGTTTGTAGAATTTTTCTGTCATATGTATGTTTGTTAATTTATTTTGTTTACATTTTTTCAGCTTTGTACTGAAATCATTGCCAATATCAAAGCTGATTTAGATGCTTGCAGAGCATCTGTATGTACAGAGGCTAATGATTCTCATTCGAAATCTATGAAGAAAATAATCGATACAGATAACATTTCTTATATATCACCATCAAAATCTTTGAATAAAACAACACTTGACAATTTTAACGATAACAGTATCTCTTGTGCATCGTCGAAACATATTGATAAATTAGCTTTATCCAGTCACATTCTCACTAGTAAGCACTCAACAAACGATGATGAAACTGAACCGGACACATTAATTTCAGTGGCTGAAGAATTAGTATCACCACAGGATACTGATGATGAATTGAAGCAGCTCGATTTAGATGATGATATTGACCGTAGTACACCAGTTGCCGAACATTCTCCCAATTCAACGAACAAAAATACCACATATTTATCCAATGCTGACGTCAGTGCTGTGGAATCTAAGCAAACAATTAGTTCTGAAGTGTCGAAAAATAAGCGTTGTTTGTCTCCTTCAGTTCATACAGAGTCGTCATATTATACAGATTTTCAACCGAGCTCTGAAGATAACAATTCTAAATCACTAAATACTCAAGATATTTTGCATAAAAAGGAGATTGAAAAGGAATCCAATAACACGTCAATGAAGTTTATAATTAACTCAACTGACAAAACGTTAACGGGACAAGTGAATCAAACAGACAATGTGTTTTCTAATCAGTTAGCTCCCAAAATTTTTACTAACGAATGGTATGCTTTTAAAGCTTTCATTATGAGTTTTTTATGTGTGCAATTTTATATGGATTTTCGAGGTTTTCCAATACTTTTAAGGGCTTAAACGTAGCACTATTCATTTTTAAATAACCTTTATCACAAAGTATAATTTATAATAAGCGCCTATACTTTTCATTTCCGATATATATTATGCTAGAAAGAACTGTAGAATTTCGTAAACAATATAAAGGGTGCTGCTATTTACCCCTTGTCTTCAACATGCTTGACTATTTCCAAAAATTAATCAGTTTGTATAATCACCAAGTAGAGTTAGTATTTTAAATTCGTTATACTCTATTTTGAATTATGACGGATGGTTATATTACCAAGTACAGTTGTTTAGGTTTATCATCAGTGTTGCCTAAAATTTCTTCACTTATGAATAAAAACGATTAAATCTCACGAAAACAAAAATTAGTTTCAGTCAACTTCAAAAAAGCAGTTGAAGAACATATGGAACACAAAACAAATGTCAACCGATATCAAAGTCAGAATCTTCAATACGAACGTCAAGAGAGTTCTACTGTACTGAGCTGAAACTTGGAGAACTACCGCAACCATCATCAAAAAGCTACAAGGATTTCTAAACAATTGTCAACGTAAGATCCTGAATGTCCGTTGACTGGGTACCATCAGCAACATCCTACTGTGGGAGAGAACTTACCAGCTGTCATCTGAAGAGGAAGTTAGGAAAAGACATTTTTACGTGGATAGGACATACACCTCGGAATTCACCAAACTGCATCACGAGGCAAGTGCTTACTTGGGATCCTGAAGCGGAACGAAAAGAGGAAGGCCAATGAACACTGCGCCGGGAATCGGAAGCAGACATCAAAAGAATGGATAGCAACTGGAAAGGATTGTCCTGGACAGAGTTGGATGGAGAATGCTGGCAGGTGGCCTATGCTTCTCTACGAGGAGTAACAGGTGTAAGTAACTTCAAGAAAATAAAACGAGATTTTGTCTATGATTCTTCATGTTATCGTGTAAACTTTGGGCTTGGCACATACGCATTTAAACACTTCACATAATTTTTGACCTCATGTTTTTTTGGTAAGTGAAATTGAAAGTGTTTTTTCTGCTTATTCGTCTGTCGTTCTTATATTAGAAATCATAACAGTGTGTTCATTTTGGTGCCGAAAGTATCACATAACAAAATGATTTTCATTCGCTTTTAAATCGTGAACTGTAGTTTTGATTGTTTGTTTTTTACCTTGTATTTGTGAGTATAATTACTGTAAAACAGTCTTATGATTATTTAAGTGCACTGTTTGACTGCATGAGGACAGTTATACATACATTCATTGTCATATATATATATATATAACATCAGTTCTCGTTACATGTGTGTTCTTCAACCATTTGCTCTCTGTCGATTTTCTTAATGGTTCAATTGAAACTTACACCTATATTTATACTGACGAATTCTGGTGCGAGTAAGTGAACAAATGAGTTGTTTGCTTACACACATTTGTAGTATATAAGTGTGTGTGTCGTGCTATGCTCTCTTACCTTCTGTTGTCTCAAGGTTTGTAAATATGCATACTAATGTGTGTGCATATTAATTTATAGAGTGAGAGAGAACGTAAATATATAGAAGCCTCTAATATAGTATTTTTGTCTTTCAGTGCGTATGTATGTGCTTATAGTTAGTTACCGCACACAAATTACATTCTATATTGACGTGATCTCATCGATTTGAGAAAAATAACGGTACCTAACTCTAACTAGACTATGGACTAGTCGCAGTATCATGGCAATATATATAGATGGAATTTTGGTGATTAAAATTCATTTTTCATACTTAACTATATATGTATATAAACATAAATGTAGAATACAGTCAACACACAAGTTTCTAACAATTTAAAAAATATATTTTAAAAACGAGATTCTCTTCGAAATCTAGTTATTTTCTCATTATATATTTAAGAAAAGGATTTCACGGTGAGCCTATTTTCATTTTTTACATGGTCTAATTATATCATCTGAATCATTCTTCGTCTATTACGGCTTAGTAACAATAATAATAATGACGATTATTTTGTTGCTTAATATGTCTAGTGTATAAGATAATGTTAGAAAAAATTGTTAGAAATAGCGTAATTTAACCAAATCAAGACGTTTTTGATAAACAAACTGATATACGGGTAAATAAGTATGGCTTGATGCAAATATTTATCCAGTTCAACTTATTTTACTTCACTTTAATAAATGTATGAGATTAATAGGATAAGTGAATAATATCATGAAATATTATTCTGTACAGGGAATGATCTATTTCACCAATAATATAGTCATGTGATTATCTGTTTAAATCAAAGAAGGTATATATGTTAATAAATAATACCGATGTAGGGCTTAATAGTTACACCCTTGGACGCCTAGGTAAATCTGAGCCTCGAAACGTTTTACATTTAGTTTATATATATGCCAGTTAGGATCAATGCAAACTCAGCGTTCTTAAAACAACTCTAGGGGTCAAGCGCGAGTCCGAAAGTCCTGGGTTCGAGTCCCGCGGGCGGGATTTGGATGCGCAATCCTGAGGAGTTCCGTACTAGGATGAAACAGCCATTCAATGCTTCCAGGTTTTCAATGGTGGTCGAACTTAGATCTACTCATGAATTCAACTGTTACAATACTACAATCTCCACAAATCCCCACTCTTGATAATTGTGTAAAAATGCTACTGTTGGTAAAGATAATCATTTTGTTGCGATTATCATGATTTTTGTCATCAATAGCTATCGTAAAATGTGTTGCGAATTTATTCTGATAAATGATTGATGGCGTTATGCATCATTTAATCAATTCAAAACGATATATCGGAACACTAAATTGGTTAATTTAGACAAAATAACTATGAGATCCCATCTTCTTCTATTTCAGTTCAGATAGGGGGGAGTTTTGTCGATCCACATCTATTATATAATTATTTTCTCAATATATATATATATATTAAATTCATTAAATCACATTCTTTAACTAAAGTTTTTTCGTTCTATTAATTAGGTCAATATTAGATATTTTAGTTGTGATATTTATTAAATCAGATTCATATACTTTGAATAAATTTTTTCTATGTATATTCTTAACTATATTTCATGACATAAAGTATGGATACCGCTGTCTTTAAAATATTGTTATGCAGTCACAATCATAATATACCCAATACTTGATTGGATAGAATTAAGAGTAAGATCACTTACAAGGAACACTCCGAGAATAATCAGTAAAATTTCTTAAACGTTTTCGCAGATCTTTAAAAAAATTTAGAACGAATAAGGTTTTGTTTTAGCAGTCCCATGCTCCAATAGAAAATAAACATTTTGAATTGTTAAAAATAATTTATACCACAAATATTTAACTCTGAAGCTGTTGAGTTCTTTGAACGTGAAAATTTAATTGTAAAGCATTCATTCTCGTTGTTGAGACTGTCACTAATATCTACTTCAAGACTTTATTGAAACATTATTGTAACTGGTGTATCTGCATGTTTGTTATGTAAGTATATCAGTCTGTCTCTCATGACCTATAAGTAAAGTATTTAATACATACACGCATGAGATAAGTAGTTAGCTGATGTTTATTGCAAGTATTTATTCTCTTTAATCTGTCGATGTAATGAGACAGTTGGAGCTAACTTATAATTAAAATAAGCAATGTTCTTTTGAGCGAAGTGCTGGATAAATCACATTTTATTTATGCTCAGTAGATTACTGAATCTGTTTGTTTTTGATACATAGAAAAACTACAGTTTGAGAGATTCCAGACAATATTTACTGATCGTGTGAACAGCTCTACTGAAATCGCTGATTAATTTAAGGCTTAGTGACTAACTGAAATGCTGTTCTTAGCAGCCTAACTACGCAAATACTTTTATTTTAAATGATTTTCTATAATCATTGCTCTTTCTCTCATTGTTTTATTTGGAGATAATAACGTGAATCTTTATCAGTAAATCAATAGCTGATGTACTTTTAACTACAAACTATCCTTTTTATCTGTTACCTAATTGCTTATTGTATTTTCTATTCTCTGTTTCGTTAACTAGCGACCTAAATCATTCTGGAAGTTTGCTTTTTTTTCATATGTTCGTTTAGTTGATTTTTTTTTACATCAAAGTATTGTTTTTGTTTGAAATAATATCAAAATTAATCCTTCTATCTAACCCATTGAAAGTTGATCAGTTTTAGAAAACTACGCACACACACACCATGTTAACAAAATAGTGCTACTTTTCATTTACTATTTCAAGGTTTTTAGTCCACCTTACACATGGTTACAACATATTTAAATTATTTCTAAATAAGTCTTCCTATCGCTAACTTACAAGACATACACATATATGCGCGTATGCTTAAAATAAATTATGAGCGCGCTTTATATTTTGATTATTTCACTATTTGAAGCGCACGTGCTTCTTATATAGTTAGAGTATTTAATAATGTCGCTAAAGTACTATTTTTGAACGAACCGCTTTCATCTTTCATTATATGACTTAATATTTCTCTTCGGCATATATACAATATTTTTGTGTTTAGTGTATGACTGACTGCATCTGTATGCAAATAGTTGTTTTTATTCTTTTACATTCATATCTAACCCAATTTTTGTATTCAGCAAACCGTGCGCAATACTGTTTGAGTTCGTTATCACTAACTGAAATCTCATTTTCGGTAGTACTGCTAATAATCTTTTTCTTGTCAGAGTGTTTGTCCATTCATCACTCAATATTGTTTATAATGGGGAATATTAGTAATAGTTATTCCAATCCTAGGAACACTAATTCGTCTTCACTAACCTCATCAGTTTCTTCCTCATGCTCATGCAGCCCATTAACTGTTAATATTACGAGATCATCAAGTTATCAGAGGTGAGTAATCAATATAAAAGATATAACCGTATTTGAATCAGCCTGTCTGTGTGTGCTCTAGTTAATCAATGTAATATAGAGCAACAGTCAAATAAAAACAATGTGCTTTAGCGAGTTTTTTTGTGCTTAAGGTGTTTTTTGTTTCTTAGGTAGTTTTTTTACTTATCTAACTTTGTGAATACTAAATATTCAACTCTTCTATTCTATTTGGGTGCAACATTGTATTGCTTAACAGTTTTCTTTTCATCATTGGTAATTTTCATTTGTTTTTCTTCGTTTCATGCTATACAGTCCAACTGTCCTTGGTGTCACTTTTGCAGACAATGAATTTGAATCAAATGATATCTCATCTACATCTCCATTCACTACAGTTGCTGAAGCTAATTGTGCTACTGACGGAAAGGTTTCGACTGTAACCACTGAGGATTTCAACAACATGGTAGTATCCACTGATATTTCAGTTCCATCTGGGAAGACTAGCTTGCTTAAAGTCGCTACAGATCATCGACAAAGAGAAGAATTAGTTGATCAAATTACCACTGAATTGCTAAACCAACTTGTCTCTGAAGCTATCGAGTCTACGTTGAATGTTCGAAAATCCAACTTTCAGGTAATACATCTTTGATAATCGGTTTACTTCACTGAATTAATAATTATAAGGATATTTATATTTTTCCTCATTACCGTCAGTGTAGATTTTGTATTGTTTTATTTTCATCAACCCAAATAGGACGATACGCGCGTCCTAGATTCCATTGCTAGTCACCATCCATCTTCGCTTATAATGCTTGTGACTTAAGGCAATATCGAGGCAATCCGCACAGGATGCACATATACCACTAAGAGACTGATCAATTGCAGTCCTAAGCATCAATAGGAAGATTCAAACAAACAAGACGAAATGAATTCATATAACTATTGCTTATAGTTCACTCATCAGTGTTGACGTTTATCTGCTTTTCATGTTTCTTATCTGACGTAATTAAAAAAATAATTGCATGAAGAAAATATAGATTTTTAGGTGAAATTATAAATTATCCAAACACTATTCATTCCAGAGTGAGTTCGGGTTATAGAATTTATCCACAAACTTTTATGTGTAGCTCACGACAATAGGTGGGAGAAATGTATATTTATTGCGAGAAGTTACGAAGTGTTTACATAATTTAAGTGGTTATGTTCTCTGAGCTGGTTAGTTGAGTTGTGGAGTTTTCATTGTTTTTTGTGTACGATATCGTCAGCACAAACTCCACAACCCAACCATTTAGCTTAGATAACAATGCTCCACATAAATTATCTACCTGAGCCACAAATCTTATTTACATGATACCTATACAAAGCCTTCAATCGTCCATTTTCATCTTCTGGTGTGTTATACATTCTGAACTGTCTTCTTGACTGGCCTCTAAGTGTTCTGCTAACCCCGTGGTTTCGATGCACTGAAACTCTTCTATCTCTCTAAAAATTATTTCAATTTCGATAGCACCTTCCGACAGCCACTACTTAAAAACATCTTTGGGAGTAAAGTCCACTGTAAGTACAAGCTTTTTTGTCACTATTTTTCCCATCGTTTGTCTTACTGAAGAGAGTGAGAGTTTAATAAAACAACAGGTTCTGGATATCACACGGTACTTGAAGTTCGCTTAGGGCCCTTCAGTTTTTTATTTTTACATTTTGAGATTGAAAAACATGTATTTGTTTGGATTCGACTCCTAATATATTATCGTACATTTATTATATATATATATCCAATTAATAATCATTTTCTTAATATTGTTGAGGAGGAAGGACAACAGTTAATTTGAAGAAAAATAAGTGAATCTTAGTGTTTTTGGCAGCAATTTAATTTATGGTTATTCACTTTTGTCTAACAAATAGGTTAAATCTCCTGAAGATTCGGAAAGTGAGGACGATGAGGATGACTTGTTAGACGATGAATTTCATCAGGGATCTTCAGAATCTCAATCCTCTTCGGAAGAGTCTGTGCCTTTATTAGATCTAGGATTAAAAGCACGTGAAGATTATGAAGAAAAGAGTCCTGAAACAGTTAAATCTAAATTCTGTGTTACTCCAGAACCGTCATATACCGTAGATAATATTAAAGGGCTATTTGCTGATACACCAGACAGAACACAGCCATTGATTCGTCTTGCTGTCAAACATTTTTGGGATGCCAAGTTGAATTCAAAGAGTGAATGCGAAGTTGTCCTATTGAAAGCTTCTAATAATCCTCCACCGGAATTCTCGCTTGATTATTATGACGAAGCAGGTAAGTGTTTAGATGTTTAGTATTGATTTTTCAAAGCAATATTAATTTATTCGTAAATATATGTAAGGGTTACTTGCTATAACCAATCGAACTATTTTTTATGGTCAAGAATAGATGTTCACTCATTTTATTGCTGTGATTGTAGCGTTTTTTATGCGTGTCGTAGCATATATTTTTGTAATTACCTTCAAAAAGTTGTATTTTCATTCAGTAGTAATGTTATCAATCGTATGTAAACATTGCACTGTATATTGCGTTAATTTTTTTTTCAAATCTGTCTGTTTGTGGTTTACAGATCTCGAATTGTTCAGAACTCAATCAAATGTGAAATTTATAAGTCGTGCTTTATTGTTTGATTTGATAAATGAAATTATACAAAAGATTTATGTTGGTGAGAATAATGACGTTGAATTACAAGAAAGGACAGTTAACTCATCTGAATCGAAAACGTTGCATCGCGTTTCAAGTGCTCAGTTTCGGCTTTGGCGTGGTCCTTGTCCGTAAGTAAAGACGTTTTAATGTTCAGCCTTTATTCTTTTTTTTGAAAAATTTAACTAAAGGTGACTGAATTTGCAATCATTTTAAAGCATTTTTCAGTTTTTCCATTGTTATGACGTTTCATTAATTAGGGCCACTGGTCAAATTGTTTTAACAGTCATTATGATTACATTTCAAGTTTCAAGAGTAAGAGTTTTATGAATTTCTATTACTTGATACATTAAAATTTTCTCAAAATAAACCCTACTATTCAAAAAATTGCATGCTTGTATTACTTATATATGGGAATGGTCGCTTCTCTAATTGTTCTGTTTCCTTTTTTTCACAGACCAACCACTTACAATCGTCTATTGACTATTGTTCAATCTGAAGTTTGTCGAGAATTGAATCTTAGAATAGAATCTAAATCAGAAATGCTTAATCACGGTGGTAATAAAACAAAATATTCTGGTTTAAATGAAGTGATACCGTCTGGTGTACGTTTATCTCGTTTAGTGCAATGGACATTAGCCAAAAAATCATGGTTAGATCGTGTATTAGACCTGGAATTACGTGCAGATGAACCAAGTTGGTTATCGTATGTACCAGAAGAACGTGAGATTAAAATGAAATTAGCTCATGAACTATGGGAGGATATACTAGACGATGCTTTGAACTCTGTTCTAGCCTCAAATGCTTGCCATTTGTCAAAGTAATTTATACAAGATCATTCTGTAATTTGATTTTTCCTAATATCTAGAATACCAATCTGAAACTACTGTGATATATTTTTTTAATGATCGAATGCTTTTATACAAAAATGTAACCATCAAATGTGTAGAAAAGAGGAAATATTGTTTGTATCTCAGATCTCACCTTATGTTGTTCCCACTTCCTCTCAAGCATATCACTTATCCGTAAACCGAATAGAACAGCGACAATCATATACGAATAATTTATATTCTATTAGCTTTTGTACATATATATACATATTCTTCCGCATGTTTTTTCTCTTTTCCTACCCACTACCAATATGTTTAATTTCATTGTTACAATATGAAAAATACAAATGAAATGCTTATTGTATATTATTTGATTTAACATGCGTACTCCTATCGCTGTTATATATATCTAATATGCCTAAATAACCTAGTGCATTTGATTTGTTCTGCATCTAACATCGTTCTCCCTGTCCTCCCGCTATTTCTACTGTATGAGATTAATGTTGACTAGATTTTTCTTTCATATTTTTTTTCGATTTTTTTCTTCGAATAGAAATGTTACAATCATGTGTACTTTGTAATAGTTGCATGTCAATGCCTATTTGTGTTTACCCGTTTCTCTCATCCCTTGTTTGTTTGTTTGTTTTTTTCCCTGTATTCCTTAAAAGCCTATTAAAAATCAAACGATTCATGTTTTCTATTTATTCAATTTGTTTATAAATCAATGTACTATTCTCTCTAATATTGCAAATAATTTTCTTTATCGTAAGATACAATAATGTATAATAGCGATAATTCACTATCATATAATTAGCATAAAAATATTTATTCTTTTCTAATGAATGATTACTCAAATCACACCTTACTTAAATCACTTAATTCAGTAAGCATGTACACTTATGCAAATATAAGGTATTATAGATACAATAAATGTTAAGTAAGAATTACAATTGAGTAGATAATAGAGTACTTTTATTTTTGTTGTTGTTGATGCTTATCAGATTTTTATCCTGTTTAATTGTTGTAAATGACCCTTGAAATCTCTACAATGTATAAAACGTGTTCTCTTATTTATTTAACCCAAGTTTTCTGATTCGAAAATCTTGAATTTTTATTCCGTAAGAATATTATCATTCACGTACAAAATTCAGATCTTAAAGCTCTTATATAAGTCGCTCATTTGTTTATCTTCGCATCCCTTGTGTTACGTCCTGGTGTGTTGTCTCTGTTATGTACATATCGACCCTGTTGGGTCCACAGTCTTGCTGCTCATATTTGACAAATCAATACCACTGCAGTTTGAAGACGCAAATTAAGGACACGAATAACTGGTTCAGTGAAGATTTATTGGTTCTCCAAATACACATTTAATAATATTACATAAAGGAAAAATATGTCGAATTACTGTGCAAACACATTGAATATAGTTCACACTTGTCATTCTGAACACAGTTTATACTGAATTGATACAAGAAAATATTGACCTTTAAATGTCACTGTGAATGAGGTTCACACCTATAACCGTGTCCGTGTCATCTTTTTATCCCGTCATATCAGAGAATTAGTGCACAAACTGATGTTTTGGGTGGCTATAACCTTTCACTTTTAATGCTTAGAAACTGAATGCTTTGACCAATAGGCCGCTACTTGAACTGAATTAATGTTTCACAAGAGAATATAAGGTCAGGTCTGTTATATACTTATTAGCCCAATCAGAACAAAACGATAGTCATGTAAATCCTGATATAAAAAAATCTTCGAATATTCACTACTTTCTATTGGTATCATCGTCAACTAAAGGTCCTCATACTTTATATTTGTTATGTTTACTTGCACGGTCAAGTGTACGCTCCATGTTGCTAACAATTTTCTGATATCATGAGATGTATCTTGACCTTGTGTACACATTTTCTCAAGACTTCAACTTTGCCAAAAAAATTCGGCTATTCAGATTTAGTAATCATATCATAGTTTCTTTCTGATTACTTTCAAACGGTCATCATTAAAAAATTGTGATCAAATTATTATACCGAACCAACAATATTTTAAAGGAAAGCATATTAAAATCGAAGCATCAGTTAAGCAGGGTTTCGTTTTGAAGTGATTAAGTAAATACAGTTTTTGGTGGTTTCATTGTGAGTTGTTCTAACATAAGTAGCCACTTTACTGACATTTGACGATTGGCTGCTAATTTTCAATTTTGTTGTAAAATCCTGAGTTGACGTAGGATGATGGCCATCAGTGATTTGAAATTATGTTCAAGATAGATTTGCCTTGGTATTCAGATTTTAGATGGAGAACCAAGAGTTTTGTCTTAAGTCGTTCAGTAATTAGTTGTGGTCTATAAAACTAGTTTTCTCGCGTTTTGTAAAATAACTAAATGAGCATTATTAAGGTTATGCATCCAGTAATTGGGAAACTTGTCAAATCAACTGATGAGGCATTGGGTCTCCATCTACTGAAGTGGTTAGAATATGTGTTGCCTATGCCCAGTTACCGCCTACCTCAATCAGCGATCTTTGATTGTCTATCAGTACATTTGAGGAAACTTAGGGTCAATGAAACTAAACATAGGAACAATCCGCAATGTTAGTGTTGGTGTAGATTACCTGATTGAGGTTCGCCTGATAACCGCGCTCAGTGATTGGAGACTTGGTGACATGGCTCAGAATCGTCCGGAGTGACGCAGATCCATAAACTTTCAATCTTCACCCATGTCTTGAATTCCAGTATCTCTTCATGCACACCTTTCTACCCTGTCTTTTTAAATCGTATTCTTTATTTTATCGTTGCTACTAGATTACTTCGATCTTTTTCGTTGTTTTCATCTCTTGCTAAACTGGAATTTCAATGTGGATCAACACACATTATCAAACTTCATACTGATATATGTTTATTGTAAAATTAGTTACTAAAGGTCACAGACATTGTTATCCGCTGGGAGAGTATGGTACAATCATACTGATGATTGCAAATATAGATTATGTGATTTTATTATTTCTCACATATATGTGTGTAATAGATATGGGGATTGAAAGTTTTAAGAATTTTAATCTTGTTTTAGATTGAGATGGTAGGTTGTCACGATTACACAACATCAGCCTCTGAATTATAAGAACAAACGATGACTAACGTCCCAACTGTTTTTTATATCTGGCCTGAATTTCATCTTGTTTCTTTGAAAAACAGACTGATTATAATAACGACTAAATGAGTTCCAGTAATCCTGAAGGTGAATATAAGTCAAACACTAAGGAAGTATTATTAAGACATTGATGATCCCATTAACTAGTTTCTCTTTATCAGGATAATTCGTTGAATGTTTTTTTGATCTGCTTTTCATACAAATAGTTTCTTATTTTCACCGTTTTTTCTTTTTCAAAACTTGTTATGATGTTGAGAGAAATAGTTTCAAAAGTTTTATTCTCAGAGATATGTTCTATGAAACTATATTTTGACTTCCTTCACATCCTTAGTGGCTTCTGAGTTTTGAAAAAGATCATTAGATTTTTTCTAATTTACCATCGGGTTCTCTTAAACCTATAATATTTCGAAGATGTCATTTTTCAAAATCCTTAATGTTATTTTAAGAGTTTGTTGGATTTTATGAAGTTACAATAGAATTGTAATGGCTAAGATTGATACAAACCTACTGAATTATATTAACATACTATTCACGACTATCAGGATACTTAAAATATATAGATGTTATAGCATCTTATATTTTATCCAAATAAAAAGAATAGTGATCTGATTATCATAATACGTTAGTTACACATAAAATTTCTCTATTTAACATTGAAATTATCAAGAATGGTTCAAAGGAACATTTACATAATATTATCAGAATGGGTTTTGTGGAGATTTTTAGAAATTTCACAGGTTGAAATCATGAGTTAATTGAATCTAGACCACCATGGAAAACCTGGAAGCACTGGACGGCCGTTTCGTCATAGTATGGGACTCCTCAACAGTGCGCATTCACGATCCCGCACCCCGCGGGATTTGAACTCAGGACCTACTGGTTTCGCGCGCGAGCACTTAACCACTAGACCAGGTTTTCTATGGTGGTCCAGCTTCAATTAACTCGTGATTTCAACCTGTGAAATTGACATAATATGCTATTCATTGTTTCATATAACGTATGACCACAATGATATATTATTGCAAACACAATACACGATAAATCAGAAGACATTATAATCTATGTTAGGAAATATCTTTACCCTGATTTCTAGAAATATGTATATAGTTTCATATAAGATTCCAGTGGTCCATACCTGATATATATATATATATATATATATATATATATATATATATATATATATATATATATATATATATATATATATATATATATATATATATATATATATATATATATATATCACTTGTTCCATATAAGTAATATCTAACAAAATACTAAAACTTTGTCTGCATTTATTGTTATTTTATATTGTTACTGTAATCACCAATATCCCCCAAAAAATTGTGAATACAAAAATGAATTAAGAAAATAATAATACTTAATTGTTTGTTATAAATGATCAATCATATAAACCAATTAAAGTAATTACATATTTCTGATATGAATCACAGTACATGTGTGATGGTTTTGTTTCTTCGCTATAAAAGTTTTTTTTTAAAAGAACAAACGTACATCTAGCAAAGGAAACAATAAACACAAACAAACAAACACACACACATAAATGTATATGTATATATATATATATACTGTTTGCCTGAATAATGTCATCATTGTTGTATGTAGTAAACAACAGCATATTATGAAATAATTTTAAAAAAAGAGCTATATTCAAGAGAAATGGTAATTTGCATTACTTGTCTAAAGAAAGTATGCAATATTTAATGATTGAATGATACTAAGGAGTCACACGCATATGTATCCATAAAGTAAATGTAAAATATGTCTGAGTAGCTTAAAGTTATTGTATTTTTCATTGATCTGAAAAAAAATATGATTATTGATATCTGTGTTTTATGATGAATGTAATTTGATAAATAAAAGGAGATCATTTACAAAACTTTATCACTAAAATCAGACTATTTTTTATGTAACATCTTAAAATATCATTGAAGATTTGTTTGTTTGCTATGAATTTTAGTTTTGTTTTCTAGAAGACATAACATTTATTCAATTTTATTCTTTGAGAAGAAATCAGTCATCATCTATTATCTTTAATGGGTAATATGAATGATGTATATACAGGTTGAATCCATACTTCTTTTTTTTTAATGTTCTCCATTAATAATGATTACTATATGTGATTCACTCTTTATTCTTTGCTCTCTTTTTGTGTGTCATTGTTGTAAAGTTCATTTTTTTCTTGAAATTCAGTTTGTAATGAATTAGTTGAAGATTTCAATCCATTCGATTTTAAATTGTTTGATGATTTACTTCTTGTATCATTGATATCTGAACGAATTGTGGATTTTCGATTTATTCGACCAATATTTGATAGAACACTTTCTGATCGATATCTAGAATCTTTTAAAATTGGATTACTTGGTTTATACTCTTTAGAATCATTTTTTAACAGATCATTTTCTGATTGACCAATTCTTAATCTAAAGAAGAATAAAAGGAGAAACCATGTTGTTTTGTTCATTAAGTTGATATTTTGTAAAATTAATTTCATTATGTCAAAAGATAACTGAGTCATATCAACAGGTAAAAACTCACTGGTTGAGATCTATTCAATATGATTGTTAATCGGTCGTAGTACCATAGACTTACTCATTCTTCATATTTTAAATTATAAGTTTGTACTTTACACGCTTCAGAGTTGTAAATCATAGACTGACGTCAGTTAAGTAACCATAGAAAACACAGAAACACTAGGGAAATATTTTGTCCATGTATGAGAATCCATAACAGTACGGAACGGATGGTAGCCACACGATATTGCGAATTGACTGAAGCTAAAAATATAACCAGTTGGATAGCACAGTAATGATCTGAATATCAAATGCTCACTGTGCAACCTGAAGTTTCTATGTATGATCACTGTCAGGTTTGGAATAATGCTATATCAGAAAATATATCTGTCTAGTGTAACTTTGTTCTCACTGATTGTATAACTGAAGTCAGTCTGTGATATAAAAACACGAAATTCAATAATTTTTACACATCACCACATATCTTTTATGTTTAACTTCAATTTCGATAATATCACCATTCTTTGAACTAATTTTTTTGATACTAATTCCCTCTGCTGATGAAGAATGTGAAGGTTTAGACAAATGTCCTTTTTTTTGTCAAACCCTCATGATCGAATAAATTGTAAATAATTTATCAAATAAACACAATATATACGTTTAGACATTACCATATGAAACTCAGGGTTCACTCATTAAACTCTATATAGGTATCAAGTCAGGCTTGTAAAGGTATGCAGCTAAGCAGTTACCACTCAATTCAATAAACACCTCATTGATTGAGATTGAAATTCTAGAAATCATGTTACACGTTTCGGAAAATACTTAATCAGTATATGTTTGTATGTATACAAAGTAATCGGTTTCTGCTTTCAAAATCATCATAACAAGGAAGTATAAAATGCCAAATATTTCATTGAGAAACAGAAAACCATATTTAACGTGTAAATACTTGATGTTAAATTATAAACAATTCATTAGCTACTTTATAAAGTACACAGTACACATTATAAAACCTATTCCGAGTCCCTATTTTAAATTCGTTACTTGCATACCTATTGGTTGTTATTATATGAAAATGAAGACAACTATTGATATTTATAATGAATTCCTTGTGCAAACATGAATTGGTACCTCGGTTCATATGATACGAGATAAATAAGCCATCCTAATCTTATTAATTACTTTTGTACTTAGTGAGACGATGATCAGTAGACTATCATATTTTATTTAGAGGTAATCGATTGCCTCGTTTATATTCCTGGTTTTATGGATTGCTATTTGATCAAATACAATTACATCACAACTGCAACTACAATTATAGCGAAAATAATCTGATTGAAATGGTGTCTGCTCGGTTCACTCAGAGAATGCGACACAACAGATATATATATATACTGATGAATACAACATAAAGTATTTACAGAACTTACCTTTGTTTTACCAAATCATCACTTGTGTCATTAATATTTTGTCTACTTCTTCTTTTAAACAAAATGACTTCTCTTTGATAACCATCATCATCATCATAGTCTTCAGTTTCGGTTGGAATATCTAATATATTTAACCATTCATCTGCCATACGAGTTTTTGTTGCACGTCTTAATGAAGCTGTTTCACGTGAAGCGCTTAAATCGGCTTTTGCACGTACTAATTCAGCATCTAAATCGATGCTGCGACGTTCCAAACCGGAAATACGACTAGTGTAATGAATAACTTGATCCTCTAATTCATGAATTTTCCATTTTTGATGTTGATTAACACTTCGTAATTCCATTTCTGATGCTTGTGTCGTTTGCAATTCAACCTAATTATTTTTAAAAAATTTTAGCATTAAAAAAACATTACAATATGTGTTACTATCTTATTTAAAGATGAATATGTTTTTACTCTAAAAAAGTGAAATGACAAAGTGTTGAAAACAATTTTGCAATAATCATATTGGTGCTTGGCATTGATACATTAAATCATTGACTGTTAGTGCAAATGTCAGGGAAAATTAAAATTTACGGCGAGAGTATAATTTATGAACAAGTCAATCAGAAGCGAAGGAGAGATTTCACAGCCACGGCACCTGTTCATGTTCTATTGGTTTACAGCGGATTTCAAAGAGGACGTTACAGGTGAGCGACTACAGTAGATGGGATTACTAACAAGTTCCTTTATTTGTGATTACGTTGTTCAGATAACTGCAGGTTACTGTGCAAACTATCGTGATGATGCTGTATTCCGATGTTGTATGTATTGGAGGAAAACGTCTGCTAGAATGGGAACTTTTTTCTCTCTATGCCAATTGAGATTAAGACAGATTATGATAATTGTTGCATACTGGATAATAAAAGCATCAGTAACACTTGCGGCAACCATTGCAGATGTTACTCAAGCTTTGACAGTTCAGTGGTATCAGTACTTTCAAAATATATGTACAATGAAAATAACAAGCATGTATCAGTCGTCTAGAGGAATTAGGAGAATCTTAGAAATCGACGGAACGGTCGTTAAGGAACGCAAATTCAATAGAGGAACAAGTGTTAAAAAAGGCTGGGCAAGTAGAACTTCCTTAATTGTACTTAGAAGGTCCTTGGTTTACATGATATGTCATCTCAAACGATACACTTTCAGCGTATGAGAGACTGACAGGTGGCAACGGTGATACCAGTTGTATTAGAGTATGCACAGTCGGGTACCACAATACACATGGATGACTGGAAAACATATCGATCACTATCTAGACTTTGTTACATGAATCCTATCGCCCTACCCCACTACGGGAGTACGCACAAATAATATAGAAACAGTGTGGTCGAGGCTAAAAGAATTTTTGCGATCTTATCGACCATTATGCAGTCACATGGGCGAGTTCCTGTACCGTATGCATTACGATTTCAGAACTGCAGTCTTTCCAACTTTGAAAAGTTTTCAAATCATGTTGAGGAAGAGCATCCACTCGTATTTTTTTGGTCTTGTATAATCTACCCTTACTCTATACCGACTGTTTCTTGATTGGCTGAATTTTCTCAACGTTATTTAAGTTTCGTTCGAAGGTCGTTTATAAGCTGTAGTCTAGCAGACTGAACAATCCATTCTTCTTTGAGTTAAAAAGGAGTATTTTACCATACTCACGTACCAAGATAGTAAGATGATATAATTTTGCCTCTGTGGTATTTTATTGTGATATGTTAATGAATCAATAAGGCAAAAATGTTTGTTTGTATGATAACAGATTTAGATTGTGAACTTTGTCAATGACAGTTTAGATGCTGTCGAAGTTGTGTTTCGTACTATTGGTGCAGGAAAACATAGTCAGTCAAAATATATCATTCCAAAGCATTGTTTATAGCGAAAACAGCACTGCTGAACTCTACTCACCAATTTATCTGCTTCGATAATCGTTTTACTTTAAAAAAGTTTCCCTTATCCATGATTTACTGACTTTGTTTTGAAATAATAAATCAGCATCTATTTTTACCAACCGCTTTCTTACATAACACAACGGCGATAATGTTTAAACTAAATATGAAGTATCATTTAGGTTGACTATCAAGTAATTCAGTTGAGCCATATTTTCATGAGACATTTTGAGCATATAATAAATGCTTTCTATGGATAAGCAACACGAAACGCTAACTTCAAATTTCTTTGTTTGTCATACCAGATATTGATTCTCTCTAAAGATATTCATGGATCCACCTAGAGTACGCAGATCAAATATTCCAGTTTTATCAAGATAATGATGAAATAGATTGTTTTCTATATGACTTAAGTGAATTTCTCTTCCTCTAACTGCAAAAGTTTGATCCACTAGTATGTCGAATAATTACCAACATTGACCATAAGGAATAAAGTAGAAGGGTGTGTATATACCGTACAACAATTTATTTTGTTGTAAATTATGCCATAAATATCATTAAAAAATAGTTTGTGTACGGTTTGACAACCGAGTGGTCAGTGTTGAGGCCTAACGCACGATATTAGGTAGTGAAGAGTAGTCATATTGTAAACACGGACATCCATATTCTTATTCGATGGACAGTGTTAGTTGGTTTAATAGTAGGCTAGAATAAACCCAGTAGAGGCCACACAAAAACGTCCCATCGTTCCATAAAACTGTTAGCAATCTAACTAAGTCTCGTTGCTAGCCACCTACTACTTGAATAAAACTCACGTGATAAACCTGATCAAGGGCTGAAGACATTAGATGTTAAGATTCAGGACTGATCACGGTAGTGCTAGTGTATTCTCTAATTATCATTTTCTACATTTTTGGTGTAAATATCACCTCATAGTTTTGATTCCACCTAACTATATTTTTCTTATTTAGTTTTCTCAGTATCATCGGTATTATAGATAATCCAATGTTTACCATCCATGCTTCCAATTTTGGCTGAGTGTGCTGATGTAGCGTGTACGGTACGGAATTGATCATGAACAACCAACTAACATCGAATGATGAAGCAGTGCAAGTTATCTTTTCTGTGTAAAAGTTCTAAAAAGTGTGAATCTGTAATTATCTGATGTGATCACATTCCAGACATTTAGACCTATCATTGGAATTTATATTTAGGATCACCGGTTTAGAATCTGCCGGTTGAGATATACTACGATTATATTTCAATTCTGCACGTGAACATCTGAATTCAATTCTAACTTGGTTGACTACAAAGTTCTTTGATAGAAAAGGTTAGAAATCCAATGTCAGTAATGTAATAAGATGGTTAACAAATATTATGAAATGAATATTCTAGTTGTAAATGCAGTTAGAAGTATTTTTTAGACTAACAGTCTTCAGTTTTGTTGGAGTGATCCAGAAAATTGCTTGCAAAAGACAAGCAAGCATCAGGAAACACTAAGAAGCGTTTCATCCAATCAGCGTTCACTTGAGGTTTTAGCCAAAAATATCAAGGAAGCGAAACCTCAGATGCGGAGGTTCTGATTGGCTGATTGCTACACTGTTACTATGTTCAGTAGCATTCCAGAATCTCCTAGCAACCCAAAAACATTTAAAATATTAAAAAAACCCTGTGTTTTCTGTATTAAAATGGACCTTGGAGTAAACTACTTCTCGCATACTTTGTGTCTTCTCTCTCGTGTTCAGGTCGCTGTATAGTTCTAGCTTGGGGGTTACAGAATAGCTTAGGAGACGAATATAGCGTTCAATCCGCAAGACTTACCAAGTTTCATTGAGAATCACTTAATAATATACTATTCGTTGCAGTATGGTATTGTGGATAAATCTAGAAAATCAAAGGTGCAGTTTGTTTCATTTTAAATTGAAAAAAAACTGATAAATACATAATGCCATATTTTCTTGTAACAAGTAATTTATCTCATTAGAGAAAATTTGTGGTGTAAGTGAATATTTCTTGGTGGTATGATATTCTCTAAGCTCCTTAGATTGAATCATTCATGCTAGTGAATACGACGATTCTACTCTAGTTATGACTGTTTGTTTTTATGGGAATCTTCTTTTATTTTCCTATATTAGTTTGATTTATGATCATATCAATCTAATGATAACAAGAATAGAAGATTAAAAACTTTAACCACCAATCACTGTTACTTTATTCATAATATAAAATTTGTATTTCTGTCCATATACTATTCACGGCATTCAGAACTAATATAGTGATTTCGTTGCTGAGTGTCTGATAATCTTAATTGATGATATAGTGTAAACAGAATCAATTAAACGTTATTATTTCACAGTTTCATCGATACATACCACGGATATTTTTCTGAATGAGTTTTGTAATAATGTTCAGGTACATTAATAACATGAAATTCATGTAAATTCAATATCTAAAAATACGTTTTATTACACTTATCCAGAGGAATCAATAATATTTCATCAAACGTACTTGCAGTTGTTCTAGTTCCTCACGAACTCTTTCTAATTCAGACTTAATATCTGAAATACGTGCTTCATTGTGAGCTTCTGTTTCACGTAAACGTGCTTGTAATTGACGTCGTTCAGCTGCATTTTCAGCTGTACTTCCAGCAAGTTCTTGTTTTACTTCTGTCAATTCTTTTCTTAAAATATCTCTTTCTGAACGTAATTCATCCATTTCACGTAATTTAGCAATAGCCATCTCCCTATCAGCTGCAGCTCTACCTGTTATTGTAGCTGCTTGTCTAATTAATTCATCTCTTTCTGTTTCAAGTTGGGACATACGATGCATTTGAGCTGTACGTTCTCTATTCAGCATTTTTAGGCGCAATTCGGTCTAATTAAAGAAGAAATTAGCCAATTTGATTAGTTAAAGTTTCAAATAAAGAAATGTTCCATATCATATAAATAATATTTAAATGTAAAGGTCATTTCTTAATAGAAATTAAACATGTATTCAGATTGATTTTAATACAAAATTGATTGATATGCATCAGTTATCAAGTGGTAATCAATGAGCTGACTACTTCTTAAGTGCTAAATAAATTAATGAAAACAAATTTTATCACAGTTACCAGGTGAACTAATTTTATTTTATTGTACACCTTAACAAAATCAATTTCAAATGCAATAATTTATTTTCAAATTAGAAGAAACAATATAAAGCAATAGCTACTGTAGTTCTACCATATCAGCCTGGTATAATAGAAGAATTACGAAGAATCTTAAAGTTACATAGAATTAGAGCTTTCTATAAACTAACCAACGCTGCGAACTGTTTTATTTCAGACAAAAGATAAAAAGCTTTTTACTTGGACAAAGATAGTGTCGACTGTGATACTCTCTATATGTGCGTGTCAACTTGTGGAATTTCGACTCGTGCAAAGTAACATCTGAGCTACGCAAAAAGAGAAAATATTCTTATGGAAATCAAGAATTTTTAAATATTTGGCTAAAGTATGTGCTATTTCCAACAACCATCAAATCGACATTAGCAAAGTCAAAATAATATAGAAATGTTGTTTTGACTATAAAGAAAGGTGAGTAACAGAAGCTTTTCATATTATACTAAATCCTACTGCGCTCAATAGAATAATAAACCTAAATATCCGTCGACCTTGGATCGTATATTCAAATAACGGCATCTTATTATGTTCAGAGTTTGTTGCATGAATGCACACGAAAATTCAACTCGATCCCTTCATATTTTATATTTCTACACATAAATATACAAACAAGTCTCATACCATCTTGACCGAAATAACATGAAACAGACGTAATCAGACCCATCATTCATTTGTACTTTATATTCTGTTTTGTCCATCTGTACTGTTTAAACTCCTATTAATTTGATCTGGCTATTTCTTCGTTCTCTGAAGAAGAAACTTACATAAAGTTGCGAAATGTCAGAAATTCAGTTTTCTACTCATTAAAATATTACAAATATATCTTTATTTTATTATATATTCATTTATTAATTGCAAGAATTCTAATTAAATGTCTTTGCAATTATCATTATCTTCAATAAAGGTTAATTTCTAATGTAAATGCATGTATAACTATGATAATCTTTGTCATTTTTATTCATAACTAGTGATTGATATCGGTGACCTTTTAGAGTTTAGAACGAATATATAATTTTAAGATGAAAATAATAATATGAATTTGTACAACAACTACTTATTACTAAATATTACAAATGATCTTATTATTTAATAAAACATCATTTATATATTTAGGTACATCTCTGTTTGTGTTTGTTAACAATGATAGAATTACGATTTAAGATTCATTTCATTACCACTGCTCAATATTATGTAACACTGAAATTGATGTTTAATATGTTTATTTTAGTGTTTTAATATATAAAAGTATTTACGTGCTTTATTGAACGTATAAATTGAAGTCATTCAATCAGTAATATTGAACGACGAGATTAGAATTGAAACTAAATGGTATTCTGTACAAATAGGTAGTTGGTAACAAATTTCATCATATAGTGGAACTACAAGAATCGATATCAAATAAGAAAAAAATTCTGAGTGGTAAAGTCTATAAACATAATGTTGATGTATAACACTTTCAAAGGCTCTAGACATTCAATTCCATACACTTCCTATCTTACTTAATTGATTGTTTTAACATTAAACTGTGTTTTGTATACACGTCCAAACATAAATGATTCAAATAAATATATCTATTTTCGATTGAGATAATGAACCGGTTTATGTTACACCACTGTTGAAAACCCAGAAGCACTAGACGGCCTTTTCATCCTATTGTGGGTGTCTTCATTAGTGAACATCCACGATACCGCTTGCAGGATTCTAACCAAGGACCTCCAGTTGCACGCGAACGCTTAACCTCTGGACCATTGGACCGGCACCCATCGGTGTTAATGTCTAACCTCAACCAATCCACGAAATCGCGCGACCATCTTCCATTGTACTGACGTAGATACCTGTCTCTACCCAACACAGATTAGCTGGAGGCCCTGAGTTCGAATCTCGCGGGCGATATCGTGGGTGCGCACTGCTGAGGACTCCCATAATAGGACGAAAAGGTCGTTCAGTGCTTCCAGGTTTTCAATGGTGGTCTTACATCAATCGGTTCATAATCTCAATCAAAAACAATCTTTACAACTCTACACTGAAAATATATCTATTGCTCGTTGATACTCAATAACTTGATATTTTTTGACATCGATAAAATAAAATTTTTGTTGTTATGTTGAATTTTCGAGTACCTAATGAAGAGACTTTACAGTAAATGGGTTTTATAAGTTAACAATGAAGATGTTAAGGAAACATGTTAGTCTATATAACCTAATCATATTGTTATCGGGACAGTTTGAGTATAATGTGTTTCATCGTAACGGGAAGCTGTTGTAAATTGCATTCTACAACTTCACATTTTTAGTAATCCATGTCGATCGGTTTTAATTAATTTCTAATATTAGTATTATCAAATTATATATTTAATAAAATATTTCATATCAACTATTCAATTAAGAAAAGACAAATTAGCACACACGCACACAGAAAAACATACTTACATCCTCTAATAATGAAGTAGCATTTTGTAGCTTTACGTTTTGTATATCCAATTCCATACGCCATTGTTGTTTTTCCTTTTCTAATAAATTTACTTTTTCTTCTTTTTCTGTCAACTTCGTTTGTTTTTTGAAGAGAAAAGACAATTAAGAAGTAAATTGTTAACACACCATTCTGTATAAAGTTTTTCTTTATTACTTATAATAGTATTTTGAGTAGTAAGGAGTGATATAGTTTGGTAACTAGGATGCATTTTGCAACTAGTTTATCCTAATTTTTTTTTTACTGGGGCTAAGCTCAAAATTACACATGATAGAATCCAATGCGAAATGAGGTTAGCATCTTGAAGGTAATAAGTGCAATCAATATTACTGTTGTTGTGTTTTCAATTAAACAAAGTTTTGTTTCCCTTATGCAAGTTTTTATTTGTTTCAACCGTTCTATTAGACTTAAAAATTGTGAAATTAAAAAAGACCGCAATTATCGAGTGAAACTTTGTTGATAATATATTCTATAATACAATATCAATATATACCTCTGCTTGAAATCATGAGTCAATTGAAGCTAGACCATCATGGAAAACCGGGAAAAACTGGACGGCCGTTTCGTCCCAGTATGGGACTCCTCAACAGTGAGCATCCACGATCCCGCACCCCGCGAGATTCGAACCCAGTACCTATCAGTCTCGCACCAGGCGCTTAGCCATGACGTCACGTATATACCTCTGTTTTTAGAACAGTGCAATAAATTCTTTCCACGTTAATTTCTATAATAAAAATAAGCTATGGTATTGATTCCAAAGGACTAATCTTGCAACTGTTTTAACTAAATATACTTCAGGTATTCTGAAAACTTTACATTCCATTTGACTGATAATTCTTTCTTATTATCAGCACAGGTTATCATACACCACCACTTAAACTAACATCGTATTGAATAGAATTTTGAGGATTTTCAGCTAATAGACAAGTACTAATATAAAACTGACATTCTGAAAGACCGATATAGAATAAACAAAGAGTATTTTACTATATGGGAATGGCAATGAGCTTCATCCTGTAAAATGCTTTGCAAAATAAGAAATATTTCAGTGAAACAAGTTATGTATAACATTTGGGATCCACATAGTTCTGAGGAAAGGTATTCTCTCCGTTGTTAATTCTATATGTTTTAAGAATTAGCATAATGATAATCATTTTAGTGTTACGTTTCATTGTAATGATACCTAATTGTTTCATGTTATCTTTTTCCATAGATAGTTTTTGAAGCGTACAAAATGATTATTCTATTATAGAAACGTTTCTTCATAGATCGATTGCAAAAAACAGGTCACTTAGTTTAAAGCAGAAGGTACCTAGTTCTAGATTCAAACTTAACTAAAATGTATAGCTCTTTTAGGTTGACCTGATATTATCGTTTCTTGAAGTGATTGGGTTAAATATACAATTGACAGACAAGATTTTAATGATTCTTAATTAGTTAAGGTGTTGTGACTGTCAATGAAAGCTTTATTTATCAACTAATCATCTCGAAATTCATAAATAAATCGATGAGTATATACCAACAAATGTAAGATTTATTTGTTCAGGTCCGGAAAATATCTGTTTGTCTAATTATCGAAAATATAAATTGAAAGAAAACTATCATCATTCCTAATACATTAATTAATATTTGAACAGGATGATAATAATACTGATATTAAACTTCTGTTAGGCATGTTGACAGTGACGTTAAATAAACAAAGTTATTAAAAAAAGATTTTTTTTTTAAACAAGGAAAGTTTAATGATCGTTTGATTGTTAATGGCTTATGTATTCATCAAAAGATAGATAGGGAACTTATCATTGGGAAAAGGATAGCTCTTCATGATATGATAAATGTTGAAACTAAGATTAAATGTAATGAGGATGATCGTGGAAACAAAATGAACCAGTTTGGGTTAGAAAATTTGAGGGGAAGATGGAAGGGGAAGCATATGGCTGTAAAGGAAGAAGTGTATGAAGAAAGAGAAAAAAGAAGGAAAAAATAAAACAAAAAATAGGAGGATTGACATTTGGTCGACTTCTCTTATATGATGATGATGTTTTAATGAAACGATTATGTAGCTCATTTGAATTGGTTGATTCAGTGAGTAGACTAGTAGTTTAATTCAGTCAATTCCTTTTAAATATAGTATTTTGATTGAAAGTATATCATTACTTGTTACCTAATACTGTTTAGAAACTGCTATAATTGTATTTTACAATAAAAGAATTACTGTAACGTAAAGAAAAAATCGACAGTAAACAAGTTAAATTGATTTCCGGAAATTTTATAAAATCCCTAACACCACTATATATCACTGCCAAATAAAATTAAACATTTTATTTTTCATAGTTGAATTCGTGAATTAATTAAACCTAGACCACCATGGAAAACCTGTAAGCACTGGATGGCTGCCCCATCCTAGTATGGGACTCCTCAGCAGTGCGTACTCACGACCCCGCTTGCGGGATTCGAACTCAGGACCTTAAGTCCGCGCGAATGCCTAGCCTCTAGCCCATTGGGTTGTCATGCGACGGTGTCAATACCTAAGTGCAGTTAATCCACGAAATTTCTCCACCATCTATAATTGTCTTCGTTGAGTTACCATCTCACATACTAGGATGAAACGAACATTCAGTGCTCCCATGTTTTCCATGGTGGTATAGTTTTAATTGACTTATGAACTCAACTATTAAATTACTACAATCTTCACAAAACCTCCCCCACTTTATTTTTATATTACTGTTGGCTGCATATCTTATTCAATTCAACTCAATTAAGTGAAAAATTATGCAAATATTATTTGTGATGACTATGATTTATTTGTCTAATGTTCAAGTAACAAGGTATGAATCATTCCCTTTTTGAAAAATATGGTATCCGTGTGTAAGAAAAATGTTAGTTTTATGTTAAATTCTTAGAAAAAAAATCTTATTTTGGTTTAGAAAAAAACATAGTAAACGTATGACTAGTGATTGATAAATTACATTATTTACGCGATTACAATCTTCCAACAACACACAATATTTATATATTTAATTTCAATAAAACAAGGATGATACCAAAAAAACACAAACTGATTGTCATAAAGATAAAAGGTAAGTTCATTTTATATCTCTTTTTGAAAGTCAGATTTAACTAGTAAATATAATCTCAGAAGGGGTTTTGTGGAGATTGTAGTAATTTCAATAGTTGAGATCATGAGTCAATTGAAGCTAGACCACCATGGAAAACCTGGAAGCACTAGACAGCTGTTTAATTCTAATGTGGGATTACTCAAATGTGCTCATCCATGATCCCACCTCCCGATATTCGAACACAGGACCTGCCAGTCCTCCGCGCGAGCGAACCCCGCGGATGCGCACTTCTGAGGAGTCTCACAATAGGACGAAACAGCCGTCCAGTTTTTCCAAGTTTTTCATGATGGTCTAGCTTCAATTGACTCATGATCTCAACTATTGAAATTAAATATGATCTATTGACTATGATCAAATTTAGGTTTTCATGTGCAGAGAGATGCTTCGAGAATCATTTATCTTGAAGGATATTTATATTTGTGAAAGTAAACTAAATTCTGATAAACAGTTTAATATACGTCGGGGTGGGGTGGGTAACCAATTTACTGTTTAATCTAAAATTACAATTAATTTCGTAAAATATCATAATCACACATTAAAGACATTATTTGTACATCTTCCTTCAGTTGCCCTTTACATACTCTATGATTCTTTCGTTTTTGTTGTTATTACAATTGCTTTATGTTTCCTTTCACGTTCTCTTCAATCGGATCTTCTGCTGGTATACATCCTACTTCTGATTGGTATTACATTCTACTTATATCTCTCAACATGGGTAACATAAACCACATATTTAGTATTAGTTCGTAGGTGAATACCTACAAGAAAGCCCAAGTTGACGGTTTGGGGTATTTGCTATTAGTCAGAATAGTGTATTTGAATTATTACGGGTAAATATTATTAGAAACGACACCATAAAGTGTCTGTTAAACTTTGCTATTTTAGTCTCGTTTGTAAATCCGTAGGACTGATATCCGGTGTTGTCTATTCCGACTTTGGTGTTTAGATCTCCCATCAGAATTGTGAGGTCGTTTCTTGGGCACTTCTCTATGATTAATTCCAGCCTCTCATAGAATTGATCTTTAATGTCGTCGTTGCTATCATTGGAGGGTGGATGACATTGGATAATATTCATTGTGATCCCCTCCTTCTTTGTTTTGAGTGATGATTTGATGATTCTGGATCCGTGAGGTTCTCATCCTACAAGTGCATTCCGTGCTACTTTGGACAGCATTACAGCAAGTCCCTGAGTGTGTGGAGCATTTTCCTCTTCGTGACCGGAGTATAGTAGCATCTCTCCCGTATTTAGCCTTTGTTGTCCAGCTTGTGTCCAATGGGTTTCGCTGATTCTCAGTACTGCCAAGTTGTATCTCCTCATTTCCGTTGCTATTTGACTGGTCTTCCCGGTCTCCCACATTGTTTGGACGTCCCATGTACCTATGAAAATTGTTACTGTGGTTGTTAGAAGGGGCATTGACCTCGTGGTTTCCGAAGGAGCTCGGCTTTCACCATGAGGAGTCATAGTTCTTTTAAATGAAGACCTTCTAACTCCCAGGGCAGAGTCTAAATGGTTTGAATTATTTTTTCTGATAAGCGTTTTTTTAGCGAGTTAGTTTTGTACGGGATGGGGTCGCTAATCCCATGCCCAACCCTCCTCCTTTACTCGGGCTTGGGACCGGCAGTAACTCTAGAAGAGCTACAATCGGCGTTCAAGAGTTAATAAGGCCATAAAAAATTGTTTCGGATAAATAATGTTTGGGAGGAAAAGTTCCAGAACACTGAAATAGTGATTAGAACTCATGGAGTTAACAAACGTTAAATGATTGTGTAATTAAGCAATCGTCTGTTTGTTAACTTCATGAGTTTTAATCACTATTCCAATGTTCTGGAACACTCCCTCCCAAACATTAATTATCCGAACCAAATTATCTTATGACCTTAACTTTATTGAAATCTTCGTTACATCATGATACTCATTTTCATCTTTAATCACACTCTTATGTATAAATATGTCAATATCTGTAATAACGTTGATTTTCAAATATTTTAGATTCTAAGCAGCTGATGAGAACCTAACGAAATAAAATGAATTCATATTATTCTGCATGAATCTTCGTTCTTGTTCTCTTTAAAATAATAAAGGGAACTATATGTATGAAATATTAATATTAATTATACAATTAATTGAAAACAGAAAGAATTCTGGATTAGGATGTTTGTTTAATCTAACCAGAGAACATATTAAAAATCTGCTTATTGAATTAACTGAAACTATATTTGAGCCTATATAATTTATAATAGAGGGATTGAAATTGTTTTAATTATATGGGTCATAGACACTTAAGAATTATTTTGTCTACGATTTACATTAGTAGTAGAATCTTTGCAAATCACGGGGAACTGAAGAGTTGTTTCATTTTGGCTTGTGACTTCTGAGTAATGATTCTGTATTCGATCAACACTACCTATGAATAAAGCAAGTTTTATAGTTATATTATTTTCTTGCTTGTTAATAAAAAGTGTATATTTAATTTTTAATGAAGGTTTTATGCAGATGATTGATTTAGTAGTCTTATTTCAAGTAAAGAGAAAATATCACCTACTTGTCTTTGCATGGATACAGGATCGTTGTCAATACGATATTGGTCATATTCTTCCCGTAATTGATCTAAACTCCTCTTATAAAACATAGCATCAGCCCGTAATTTTGATTTGATTGATTCCCACTCTCTGGTTACTATTCAAGAATGAAGTTAATGACAACAGTTAATTTATTGAGCAACTACTCATCATTAGATAAACAAATATGAAAGATTGTTTAAGTCTACAGAAGTCTTGGCTTTTAGTTCACTCCAATATTCCCATAATTTAAAATGTAGCGTGAGGGAAATATATCTTTTATTAAGAGTGTGAACATGTATTTCTGGGTTTCAGAGTCTAAGCTTTTACCCCAAGGTTACTTATGTTTATGCGTAATTACAAAGTAGCGGATTTTAAATGACTGAGTTCTTTTGGATTTTACAAGTTGATTGGTGATTGCATCCGGTTTTTGATAAATCGTTCCATGAGATTAACCTATTGTATTTGATGTCAAACACAAAAGTCTATTATTGGTAATTACCAGGTCACAGGTTGAGGATCTTGACTTAAACTAATCAACCGTCCACATTTCACTAACCTTGTTTGTAAATGATTTAGACGAAAATAAATAGGTGATAAATATGTTAATATAATATTTTGTATATCCCATTATCATATTATCATCACTGATTCCGTTGGTAGGCAATATATCTTAGTATATTTAACATTAACTTTCTAAAGGTTACAACTACGCCTCAATCATTAGATTTTACCTACTGAACTCACAAATTCAGTAGTCGATATTATGATAAGTTACTTCGAGTTACTCAGTTAAGTGGTTACGTATAAGACGTGACCGGTAGATTTACAATAATACCACGAACAAAAACATATGACACAAATTAGTTTTCCCAAGATATGATGATGAAAATGCTATACAAGTGAGAATGAATTTCCTTGAAGTTTAACTTGAGAGATCGTAGTTACGAAGTTTACATTATATGACATGATAGAACCTTCAGAGAAGGAAAAACACTAAAACGCCTATTTTCTTTTCTTGTGGCGTACCACATGAACGCTAGTGGTTTCTGTTATTAAAAGGGTGAGTATTAAATGTTTTTAGAATGAAGTGGTTGAACTGCGAAAAAATACGATAAGGTAAGGCATGTAGTCTAAAGGAATACAGGAATACATTATCAAGTTTATCCGGTCAGTTATATTTAATCTGATGGGACCGGTTCCAAGTCAAGTGGCTCATTTAACTCAACTGATAATCTCCACTAAGTGACAGATCGTATTTTACGATAGAAAAGTAATTATACCTTTACGAACTAAAAATCAATAAAGTATGTTTGTTTCATAAAAACCGAGCAATTAATTAGATCATCTATTTCAGTAAACCAGTTCAACTGATCATTGCCCAATAGAAATTTATAATAATGCTATCTAACTAATAAAATATGTTACTGACTTTGGTTTTATCAGAATAAGAAGTAAGAAAGCGATTATCACAAATGGTTTGTTAATGATTTAAGAATTTATTATAATATTCATTTATCAAATAAGTGAATACTTGTTCTTCAATAAGCTAAAACAATTCGAAATAGGAGAGTATCAAATGCCACTTAATTAACTTAAAAGCAGGAAACTAAATATATTCATAATAACTGCACAAATAACAATTTTATCTCACTTTACATGAGAGAAACAAGTCAGATTTTGTGATAAAGGAAATAAATTTGTTTCATTTTGCTAGGCATAAGCAGACTTACCTAAATCATCTTCTGGTTCATTGTAATCACGTAATTCAGCTAATTGTTGTTCCAATTCTTTATTTTGTTGTTCAAGTTTTGTACGCTTTCTTGATTCATCATCTAGAAGTTCTTGAACATCTTTTAATGTACGTTGATTAATCATTTCTTTCTTAACAAGTTCATCGTATTCATCTTGTATATGACGTAATTGTCTATCCAGTATAGATATTTTATCATATAAACTAAAGTTTTCAGCTTCTAGTTCTTCCCGATTTTCCGCTTCTTGTTTAACGGTATCCTGATATCGTATAGAAAAGTAAAATCAGTTAACTATGACATAAATCTTTTTAACCATGGAGTAACAGTTGGTTTCAATAGTATCTGAACCTATGTACTGATGAATTATCTTGTTAATGATTTAAAGAATCATGCTTTTGTGGCGACTATTTGATGCTTTTCAGCTATGAGAAACTTTACTGTAACAAAGGTAAGTTGAAATATACTTTTGTGGTATGTATAGAAGATCTACAGATGATCATCGGAAAGGGATGAGTAGGGAGATTGTTCTAACCTCCAGGTGATCCCAGCAGATGCTGTAAATATTTCTAAGACGTCTGTGGCCAAATACCAGTAGCTTACGTTTCTCGGCCATAAAGTGAAAAAGAACTAACTGCTTAGCAGTATACTCGTCCCTTAATCGATAGACGGATATCTCGTCTTCGCCATAGGTGGTGACGTAAGTTGGCAAAAGGCGAACGAGCTTCTTGAATCTGTACGGAGATTTCGTCAAACACCAATCTATCATGGTTGATAACACTTCCAAGATGAGTGAAGTTGTCAACACGTTCGACTGCTTCACTCCCTATCCTTAGTTCAGGTGTTGACGCAGGCCAGTCCTGGAGCAACAACTTGCATTTAGATAATGAGAAACTCATTCGAAACATCCTGAAATTGTCGCTCAGTGCCACCAAAGCACTCTGCATGTCATCAGCGCCTTCACCAAACAGGTCTATATCATCTGCGTATTCTAAGTCGATAAGTGAAACTCGTGGTAGGAGATCAATGCCTGCAAATTCAGTCGACGAGAATGTTATTTCCAGCAGTAGGTCTGTGATGAACAGAAATGGAGTTAGTGGACAGCCTTTTCGGATAACACTTGAGGTTGAAAAATCAGATGACAACTTTCCATAAGCTCTGGTCCGACTGGCAGTGTTCAAGTAAAAAGCCCTCGCAAGGTTTATGTACTCCTGAGGTGCACAATTCAGTGACAGACACTGGCACAGAACCTCTTGGTCTACAGAGTCAAATGCTACCTTGAAGTCAAGTAAAATCGTCATTGTCAGACACCGATAAGTATGCCTGTATTCTTGAACCTGATGAATGGTGAATATATGGTCGATGCAGCCTCGCTCATATCTTAAGTCAGCCTGATTTTCTCGTATTCGTAGTTCACGAGTCTTTGTTAGGCGTCCAGTATTTATTGAAGTTAGTATTTTAGAAGCTATATTAGTCAAACTAATCCCTAGCCAAAACGGAAAGCCGACGAGATACACCCTTCGTGTATCTAGCGATCCGATGGCTAGTTCTCGTGAACTGGCACCTGTAGACTTAGCACTATGCACGAAGGAAAAACGGCTACTATTAGAATAGATCCCCGTTATCTGTCTCTTATGTGCTGTTCGGCTAAACGGATCCGTAAGAACTCGGAAGGATAGAGACACACGTAGTTGCCTTTTCATCGTTTCTGCCTACTCTCCAACAGACTGCAACCCTGGACGAGGTGAAAGATGACTTTTACAGAAAGCTTCCTGAACTTCTTGATAAAGCTAAACACTGAGACGCAGTAGTCGTAGCAGGCAACTTTAATGTCCAAGTGGGTAGCTTAAACCAAAGAGAAAGACATTGGTTTGGGTATATAGTATTCCGACTCAGCGATCAGATAATAGTGGTCGTCTGCTGCAACTGTGCTCCGAAATTAGTTTACTTCTAACAAGCATTAGTTCTAAGCATAGGAATAGACATCGTCTAGTATGACGACTCCCTGTACCAAACCAACGGTGGACTCAAGTAAAAAATATCGGAGAGGCTCGATAGAAGACTGCCACTCGTTCTGGAATACACGTCTAGATTCTGATCATGCACCAACACAAGCACACATTTGCTTGGGCCTCAATGGACACAAAAAAACAACATTAAGAAGATCCGTTAGAGTTGAACTCAGTGACGAGAAAACCAAATGTAGATTCCAGGAACAACTGAGGTCACACCTAGGCAGTTTTGGGAAAATAGACCTTTTGAACTGTGGTGACATTAAAATGTTAGTGTACTGCTATATTATCTGTATACCTGCTAACATTCAGATTAAGTGGAAGATACAAATAAACAGTCTATGAATAACATGGTTTTTAACAATTAAAAAACGTACTTCTGATTCAATCAACTGTTTATGCATAAGTACCAATTGTTTTTTCATTTCAGCTAATTGATGTGATGTATTGCTTCTTGGAGTTAAATCATTCACTTCCTCTCTAGATTGTGTTCTAGATGATCCAAAGAAATGTTGGGCTTGCTGTTGATTTAAATTTGTTTTACCAATTAGAATTGGTGAGTTCAATAAGTCTAATGCACATTGGGTATTACTATCAAGTTGTGAAGACACATCAGAATGTGATGATAAATATTCTCTGAGTTTAACAACTAAATCACGATGTGTAGCCAGTTCATTTTGTAGTTCAGTAATTAGCTCCTATAAGAATATTCGGGAAATAAAATAATTATTATGTATATGTTTAAATTACGAGTATTGTTTACATAGAATTTGTTTTATTACTTAACACATAGTTATGGGACCATTTATGCTGTAAGATACTTTGACAAGTAATTACATTAAAAGATATTTCTAGTGAAAACAGGGCTTATCATAGTTATTCGGCTTATCAAATTCATGTATAACGGTGTGAACATCACAGTTTTAAAAATAATAATAATTGGACATAATTTTATTGAGATCATGAGTCAATTGAAGCTAGACCACCATAGAAAGTCTGGAAGCACTGGACGGCCGTTTCGTCCTATTGTGAGACTCCTCAGCAATGAGCATCCAGACCCATGATCTCAACTATTAAAATTACTATAATATCTACATAAACCCCTTCCGATGATTTTATTGATTATTTTGATGAAAACAGAAGTTATAAGCTCATTCATAGATCAAAGACACGGATATCTCGGTTTAAACAATATTTTGGGTTGATTTAATTTTGTACTTAGAGTGAATTTTAAACAGTCAATTTGCATGTATATCACTTTCAAATGTAAATGAATGAAATGTTGACAACTTTTTATTGTCAAAATAAAACAAACAAAATACGGTTTTTAACTAAACGATAATTGTACTTCATGTGTGTCAGTGTATAAAATGTGAATTTAGTCCAGTGAAATATATAATACTTATTAATTGCTAATAGCAAAGCTAAATCAACTTTAAAGTTACAGTGCGAATTTCATAATCTATGTAATTCAGTGAATAAACAATAGGTTTGATAATAAACCAATTTATGTAACTTACATTAGAACACATTTGAAGTACAATTAACCATTTTATTAGTGTGATAAACATTAGGTTCTTGGTCTCATTCAGATAGAAACTTGTTACAATAACTCAGTAGACTCTCATATTGGTGATTTTAAAAGTAGATTTCTAATTTATTTAGGTCAGAAATTGAACTATTTATCTTAATCCAGAACTATAATGACCAGTGAACAGTTGAGAGAGCCATGTATAAATTAGGTTATTTTGACAAAATGTAGCAACATATGGTTGAAAATCCCTCCCAAATGAAGAAACTAGAAAATGATGCAGTAATTTCATTAACAACTATTGGAATTACTAACTGTTAGCTTTGAACCTAGTAATCAATGAGTCTAAGCACATCAAGAACTTAAAAACCATGACGTTTACAGCCTCAATATTCTGTCAACATTTCAGCTGATACCATTTCAGAATGTAAATTATCATTCGAGTCCAATAGCTTTAGTAACCATTAGTTTGTATTTTATCTGAAAAATATGCCATGTTTGTCACTTACATGTTTATCACAATTGAATAGACTGATGACATAATAGTTTCTAAAGGATTTAAATTCTGACAGCTGATAATAGCTGATATGCACATTCGTCATTATTCATATAACAATTAAAATGAATGAATACTTATAGCAAAGTAGCTCCAATAGAATGATTAATTAAAATAATAGAGGACCTTTGTTAAAGAATAAATTGATATTCTTTAGTCATTAGGTAACTCAATGGTATTTTATTATTATTCCAATAAGAATAAAGCATTATCACACTAATTAATTAGATTCTTGTTAATTGGATATAAATAAAAGCAGTGTTCAGTAATAAGTACTCAATGAAGATGATCAGAAAGTGGATTTCATCTCGTCAAAACTCGACAAATCACTAGATATCTTTTATGGTAGTAATTTCCCCCTTACTCTTAATTTACTAAAACTAAAGAATAGTTTTGGAAAATATCAAAAGAAGGATTAAGATTACACAAGATGAATTAAAAACTATGGTTACGTATTCAGTTTATTTTTCAAGGAATTTCATTTGTGATGATGTAAATTAAAAATATGTGTGAATAATAATGATAATGATTGGTTGTTTGCTTAGTTAGATATGCAGATTGTCTGACAGGCGTTACATGAGTTATATATTTCCCTATCCTTATTACGATTATTATTGACTGATTGTTGATTGCTGTTGGATTGTTTTCGGTTCTTAGTGTGGAAATATATTTGCATTCTAATCAAGCTAATTACGTGTTCTTGATGTGAGTTGTGTTGGAGTTCTGCAGAATATACACTGGGAGGGAATCTAGTGTAGATATTCGTTTAATGTAAATTAACGTCTCATTCGTGTAAACGTGAAAAACCGAACGTTATAACGAAAAATATCCATTGAAAAAATGTTTAGCTCACTTTTGTCTTCACGTCTTTTTCATCATTTTGGCTTTGTTCATTTTCATCATTACCAACTCCATTCGCTAATAATTTACTTCTTTGTTCTAATTGTTTACTTAATTGATTCACCATAAGTTCAAGATTACGCACATATGCTTTACCTTCAGCTTCTGTAGAATTTTTCTCTTCTAGTTCTGAGCTCAAACGTTCAACTTTACTAGATTCTAAGGCTAAAATATGTTGTAATTGTTCTACACGTTCACCAAGAACACGAACCTGAAAAAGATAAGATGAATAATAGTATTATTCGTGGTAGTTATTAGTAGTTTTATGACTAAATGAACAAATACTGAAGGTTAAAATACGATGAGTTTATGTCTATAATTTCATGAAGACTGGATATTTGAATAATCATGGTAAATAATTCAGTATTACGGTCCTCAGACTAATTTAAAAAGGTGAATGTCCTAAGGTTCACTCTGAAGAGTTCTAAACGTGGATCAGTCAAATAATCAGTATTTGTTTATGATTTGGACTGGCGTAAATTCAAGGTTAAAACCAAAGTTATATTAATTTATCTCGTTTCTTTAATAATTAAAAAACTAAAATGTGGTACATGCTCTTGTGTTGAATACACTTGCTATTGAGGTATTTGAACTTTTGTTTATCGAAAACGCATCAATCATACTAACAACACAGTATTATTCAACCTGATGCAACACTTTCCTGTAAAGTGAGAACTTAATGAAGAAAATACATGACATGCCACAATTATAAGATAAAATCTCAACTTGTTAGATATTGTACAAATGTGATTACTATACTAATTAATTAGTTTTTAAGGAATGTTTGTTCGTAACGAGATTGTATTAAACAGAGAGCTGATTTGTGCTACACGTTAGGAAAGTTCTATTGTATGAAACGCTGTGATACACTTACAAAGTATGGAATACATAAATTACGGAAAGCAAATGTCCTCAGTTCAATCTCAACAAGTCATGGAAAATTATTAAACTGGTTTAAAGCTTATAAATATATTTCCGACACTTCGAGGAGAGATCTAATTAGTTTAAATACAGTTATTGACGTAAACCACGAATTGTACAGTGAGTGAAATCAAAAAATGATATAAAAGCTTACGGTTGTAGATCATGTTTTATTTTGAGTTGTTTGAAGTAAAAAAAAACTTAGGACAATAATGTTGGCATACTTGTCTAATTATTATTGTACTTCTCACGAGACGTTAAAGTTCTACATTCTAAGTCACGTGGTGTCATTACTGAACAGTTATAAAGTAGGTCAACGCATCTCTTCAGTACTTCCCAGTTGATAATAATTGGGTTCAATTCTTCATTTTGTGTAATATTTTACTCCAAGGTTAAAAATTAAAATTCATTAAAATTACAAAAAGCGCCTTTGTGAAATATAAGAAAAGAAATAAACTAACTTGATTTTTATAATGTTCAGCAGAACGTAATTGTTGTTCATCTGCCTCCTCACGTAAAAGTTCAACTTGATCACGATAAAATTCCGCATCATTTTTCAGTTTAGTCATTGGAGATCCTTTGAGATAATAAATTTTATTTTCAAATTTATGTTAAATAAATGAATAAAGTAATTGATTCATTAAAATATCTTTTCATTGAATGAATAATTAAGCTAGAATTTTAGCATCATTTATTGAAAGCAAAATCTCTGATATTGTGATGTTTTCAAGATGAATAATAAACAAAACTATACTATTGAATTTTGCTTCTGAAACCTGTTCAAAAACATGATAGTCAAAGGGGCTAAGCAACAAATATCTATTACTTCAGACGTTATATCAGTTTTAGCAGATTGTTTTGACAAATTGAAGTGATTTCTAACATATCATGAACTGAACTTTTTTATACCAATACTCGATTCATTTCGTGTAGTCTTATAACATCTTAACAAGTTTTTGATGTAGGCAATTAAAAAACAATGAGTAAGTTGAAAATAGACTACAAGTTTACTTTTCTTAAACTTGTATTAATCACAGTGAATTTTCTTGTTAACCTTAATCAAAGTAAATTAGAACAAACAACCATCATTTTTATTGAGACTAAATAACATTGAATATCTATTACTAACTATTTCAGAATTTTTAATAGTTGAGTTCATGAGTCGATTAAAGGTAAACAACTATGGAAAACCTGGAAGCACTGTATGGTCGTTTCGTCCTACTATGGGGTTCCTCAGCAGTGCGCATCCACGATTTCATGAATTCAACTAATAAAAATTACTACATTATCTACAAAATCCCATTCTGATAATTGTTCAGAATTGTTTAATAGTATGCCTTAAAAATAATATCCATCATAAAAGAAAATATCACTAGGTTACGATGTAAGCCAGTTTTGATACATTCATTGAATTTCTCCATCATTCTAAATGAATTAACTTACAATATTTTTAGAGAGTATTTATCTACATTGTAGATGAATTTGATTTCATAGGTTATTTACCTCCACTATGTACTCTTAACTGTTCTATCACCTGAATGTAATGGATTAATTACATCATTTAATTTGCTTGGTTATTAATGTTATTATAAACGTTTACCATTAAGTTACTGGTGTTGTTTTATAGAAGAAATATATGACAAACTTGAAATTGATTATTATCATAACAGTTGAATTATTGAAAAAAAAGTAATATGTAGTACACAAGCACACAACTAAGCCTTATCATCCAGAACACTAGGAAGAAAATATTTAACAAATAACAGACAATATTCTGTTAAACATCAATCTAATGACCTATTATTTGTTTGCTATTGAAAAACGCCAAAATATTTTAGGTTTCTATTACTCAAGATTATAGTAAAATAGGTTTGAAAATGTAACGAAGTACATAGGGTATAGTGTTGGTCACATTTTTTGATGTTACATTTTTTTGCGTGTGTGATTATTTTTAGATTCACATAAAAAATCTGTCTAAAATCAATTCATACATTGTTCCAATTCAATTGTCTAATAAATGTGATTGATTATCGATTGAGACAAAATGTTTTTTGTGAATAGAATATAAGTATATTACTAACAAGTGTTGATACCGTACATCAATATATATATATATATCTTATTGGATGGAATGATGACATGTATGAGTAGGATTATGTTAGAATGACTGAATGAAGTAGAATAGACAATGCTAGACAATGTTAGACACTATCACCATTGGATGCCGGCTCAGTGATCCAGTAGGTTAAGCGTTCGTGCGCGAGAGCGAAGGCCCTGTGTTCGAATCCCGCGAGCGGGATTGTGGATGCGCACTGCTGAAGAGTCCCAGTGCTTCCAGGTTTCCAAAGTCGGTCTAACATCAATCGGTTCATGATCTCAATCAAAAACTTAATAATCTCCACAACCCCTATACTAGTGATTTTTTAACAATTTGTAATGTTCAAGTTCAATAGGAAATTTTTTATGATATTATTTTTAACTTGGAATAAATTTAAGATGTACCTGTTTTGAATCAATGAAGTTGTCATTCTTAGGACGTAGAAATGTTGTATATAAGAAGCAGTCACTCGCTTCAAATAATTGATGAATTATAATGAAATTAGTAAATTATGGTAATTAGGTTGTGTAGGCGGAAATTCGTTGATTCCCATTAACTGGTATGACAATACAAAACTTTATTAGATTCACGCTTGTAATGAATGAAATTAAAGTGTGTTCATTAGCTGAACTGCAACTAATAACATTTGTATTACATTTAATTTGTTGAGGATTTTAAAGTTATTGCAGTCAGCTCTCTTTATAATTAAATCACGAATTCCATATTATGCTTATAAAAATGTATCATTTATGAATATGGTAGTTTAGACTGATGTTAACTTTTCATTTTACTCCCCTACACTTACAACTATTAAACACCTAAACATTGGAATTGAACGTAGGCTTTTTAGTAAGACTAGGTGTCAACCCCAGGTTTAAAAATGATCTTCAAAGTTTCATTATGAGTAACGAGTTATGATATCTGATAATCAGGCTATAAAAATGTCTAAATTAAATTATTAAGATCATCATAAAAGTTGTTTGGTTGCTGCTTATATGTATCATAAGGAACGAATAAAATAAGTAGCGAAATATTTTTATATTACATAGATCAATAACTAATTACCGGGATTTAGGGGAGACGGCTCAACTTCAAGCAAATTACTAGGCTTCTGAGGAGCTAATGCATTTAAAGCCTTGTTATCAGCAGCTAACGTCTGCCAGAACTCTTGGTTTTTACTCAGCGCTTCTGATATCTATGAAGAAGCAATTAGATTGAAGGGAGAAAGTAGAGGAAAGTAATAGAATAATTAAGTAATAGAATAATTAATATATGTTATCATAAATGATTTACATTCGGATCAAATGACCCTTCATTGACGCTGTTAGTAGAATCAATAGCACCATTCAGTATCATACAATAGACCATTGATCAGAATACATAATTAATTTCCTAAATGAAATTTTATGGTGTAGAGTCGTATTCCATCTGACTATCGTACTTTAAGAAACATTTTCGTTAGTGTAGTTGCGGTGCTTATCAGTGTATACGTGTTATTACCCTACTCCACATGCATTTTTGTGCACATGTCAGCATGTATTTTACCTGAAATGACATTCATCATATTAGTTTACAATTCTCGATTCCGTTGAAATGACTGGATACTTTTTTACTAAGTTGTTTAATAAAGATTATTTATGTCAAATCGCGAGGCATCATGTTCGAAAATAAGAAATGTTTAGCTCCCAGCAAGTAAATCGTTGTGATTTATGTTCCTGCATTATTGGATCAGCCAATATGTTTAAATCATTAAAGACTTCACTTAACGTATTAGTACATTTGAAATTTACTCTGATGATGTTTAAAATTATGATTTGTAACCTTGGTTATATTTGGCTGCATTTGATTTCCATCCAAATGGTAAAATCTGATATTGGAGAGTATTTAATCCATTTAACATCTTTCGAATATCTCGAATCTCGAAATCTCAGGCGGACATATTCTAAAATAAGAGGGCTTTCACCATGACGTCTCGACACCTCTTTAGAATGATCATTGATATCCACTTCCAAACCAACCAATCATCTGTTGAAGACTACCATTGTATTTTATGGCATAATATAAGGATGTAGTGTAAGTTGCTATGTTAAGCCTACATAGCTTATTCCGGCTTCCCTAAAAGCTAGTTTGTTCATTCTTTACAAGCCATATTTTTACACCGCTACTTATTCGCTTATCAACCTTGACTTTTTATGTGTATGTGTGTGCAGTTCATATCTTACTCATCACATACCTGTGACTGATTTTTGTCTAACTATAAATATTGATTTACGCTTGATTTAATTGAGTTGGATCACACGCTTTCTCCACTGCACATCATTTTGCTTCGCTCTCTTCGGTTTCTTCGCCCCGTTTCTTTGATCATTTGTCTGGATCAATGATGGTATGAAATATACGTATTCAAAATTCATTCTTATATTTGACTTATTTGATTCCGTTATACACAAACGCGAGTTAAGTCACTTATGTACGAGGATAGCCAGGATGTATATTTCGACAGCAGTCATTCGATAACGACCATACGATCTAACTGGAGCCAGACCATGGGCCAACAAAAGGGTTTTTTATAACGAGTCGTTGTAAAAATGAATTATATGTTCAGTATTTGTGAATTTTCAGATACCAAAAGTATTCAGCTACAAAGTTTGTATGGGTACCATAGCAAATCAAGATCTCATTTACTGTCTTATCTATAAGCGACTATAGTGATTCATAGATTCTTTAGACAATTGGTCGAGGTGCTTGGATTTATCGCTTTTTTAACATTTTATTGCAAGAATAACTTGAATAAGTAGTCATTCAAAAGTCAATTAAATCCACAGAATGAATTATATAAAATATCAAAAATACTTTATATAATGTCATTCATTATGTATATATGAATAGATTTACCTGTTGTACTAAACTTTGCACTGTAGATGCATTTGACACATTTGTACTCATTTGTTCCAACTGAAAGGAATTCATGCCAGAAAAACAAAAGTGTTAACAATGAGAAAAATTATTCTGTCATATTGGTGATTTCTATTAAACCACCTATCTAAATAATAACTGAATAATAATGCCAGTAAAGAATTCTTCAACTACTACAAACCGATTCTCTGTAGAAATGAATTTTTTAACAATGACAAAAATGGAAAACCGTGGAATAAAAACCATAGAAAAGGATTAGATAAAGTTGAGAAATACTCATTATATTTCATTTAATCAGAGGGTTAGCAACAACATTTATGCCAGATAGTCGGAGAAGTGTGTCCAAATTTTAAAAGAATTAAACCAAGCTGTTCTAATTTTAAAAATTCGGGTTATAATATATCATTTAACAAAGAAACCTTTTCTTGGACAGCTTTCTCTGATAAACAAATACGACCTTCATTCTTTTATGGCAGTTATTTAATCAAAACACCAGAAATAATATCACAGGCTTTTAGAAATAAAACCATGATCTAAAGGAACATTAAATAAAAGAACTAGAGAAGCTAAAGTGTAAACTTAAAGTCTTCATTCTAACTGTTACTAAGTTCCTGAAAATCTATAGTATCAAAAAGCAAACTCATTTTCAGATCTGGGTATAAGAATTGTTTTTCTAGCCAAAGAAACCAATTTTATATATGGAACCGAAAGAATATATGGACACATGTTTGTATCAATACATAAAACACATAAAGTACGAATAATTTTTATCTGGGGTGAATATAAAAATTTTTCCCACAGAACAGATATCTGAGTAATCTACAAATCAGTCAAAAACTATATGACAATGAGGCAATAATGAGTTGTTAGAAAATAAGCTAATTAAACCATCAAATCTAAGCTCATAAACCGAAAGCCCGGATTTTCAAGACATAATCATTACTTTCAACAACCTGTCTACTATGGAGTCTTACGTAACGTTCATACTTGATTCTCATTATAGCATGAATAGCATCTCATTAGTGTAAGCCCAAATTCATGTCATATTAATAACAATTAATGACTATAACTTAAAGTTTGGCGACTTCAGATATTCGGTAGAAATACGATACTTTGTTGTTCTAAGTAATCTGAATATACTGTATGCAGTCTGAACGATGGTCTGTGTATTATTCCACCAATAAATCACCTATACAGTAAAATCTGACGATCACATGTAGTCTGACGATTGTTAGCTTATTCAGAATAACTTTTTGAATCTAATCAGTTCTTTTAAAAATAGTCCGCGGTTTTGTGATGAGGTGGTTTTAGTAAGGCGATATACATATATATATAAATCAAGAGAGAGAAAAAATAGATCAAAAGTGATACCATTTCATTAGTTATGCTCTAACAATAAATAAACATTACAACTAGGCTGAATAAAATTAAATGACGGAGAGAAAAAATGTTTATGAAATGACCAAACTCACCAACTGTACTAAATTTGCTACTCTTGCTTGATATTCCGCATTTTCGAAGCGTAACATACGAACTAGTGCTTTGTATCTTTCTAATTCACTCTACAAATAAGATTGGAGTAAGCAATAAAGATGTTTACTAGTTTACTAGTAAGGTAGTAAGATAAATATTATTTACGATAGGATTGATAACAAGTGAAAATAATGCAGCTCTGAAAAGCTATTTTCTCCTGATTTAGAGATCCACAAAAGTTCCAATCCATGTGATCTTAGCAACATTCGATAATTCCTACTACCCACTTTACTGTTAATTTACATTTTATATGGTTCTTTAAACAGACATTTATAATGAGTTATATGTTCATAAGAAAGATCTCAGATACGGTCATATAATAATCTGAAAGTAGTGCGTGTTATAATGTCCTATTTCTAGTGGATATACAACTATTTGGTTGTTCTTGTATGATGTTTATATTTTAATATGTAATTAGCAGGAAAGATTTGAGACGGTAGAGAAGTGTCATTTGGATATTTTTCTTTGGTTTTTTTATTAATAAATGATTTTGCTTGTGGCTTTTTGAAATGTATCTGAACATCTTCAGTTAATTTTAGTTTCAGTGATAAAATGAAAGTGATTTTGATGGATAGTCCAGTGTTTGTCTATCAGGATCTGCTAGTAAATAAGGATAGTGCGTAAATATTCGTATTTATGGAGGCGATACGCGATACGCTTGAAAGAAAGTTGTAAAAACGATCGATTGGATTCGATCATAATTAAGCACTTGGGTTTTAGTAGGTTATTACTTCAATATACATAATAATGACAGAATTTATATCAATGAAGCGAATCATTTTAAATTAAGGTCAGAAAATGAAGATCATTTTGATTTATTTATTTCAGTTAAAGAGTTTCATAACGTTATACCATTTAAAATAGGGATGGTGAATTAAATTTTAAAAACTTATGTGGGCAATCGAAAGTAATTTGGTTACTCCCTGTGACTTGTTATTATTGATAAGTAGAAATAAACAAGAAAATATTTTTTCGATTTTTCACAAAGCCTGTTCTACCATATCCCATTCAAAGTTATTAAAAGCATTGAAATTGTAATTTACAACTCATTTATACAAAAGTAATAGAATAAATACTTTTCAACATCACTTGAAAATAGTCTACTTTGTGATTGTACATTATATCAATAAAACAAACGTCAATGTATTTTGATGAGAAACTATGGTTTGCAATAAATCTTGTGCATAACAACTAATAATGGATAATAATTTTTAAAATGAGAAAAAACAAAACAGTTAAACTAACTCTAAGGAATAACAATTCCTCTTCTGTACGATGTGTACGAATTAATGGTTTTAAGGCCAACATTAGACGAAACCAAGGATCAAGCATAATACTTGCATTTTTCTGAATACATCTCACTGCTTTTTCTTCAGTCTTGAATTTGTTCAATTATTTATGTAGATCGTGATAGTTGAAAAAAAGAGAATCAAAAAAAATTCTTTAGAATTTTATGTAAATCTTGATTTTTTTTCGCATCTTTTAAAAAGATCAATTTAGTTCAATTCGTCATCCAGTGTTTTGGTCTAATTCAAGGTAAATTTTATTTCATACACTCCAGATAAAAATGACAAAGTATAAGGCACTGATTAAGCTTAAGTTTTTTTCATAAGATTTCGAATGTAAACAGGAGAATAGGGTAAATTTCTAGGCTCATTTTCATGGAAGATGATACAAAAAAGGAATAAAATTACTTTACTAAATAATTCGTAAATTGTCTTTTATCGTGAATAGTAATAGACATGAAATGAAAGCTCTTTCAAACGCCTACCACAAACGAATGAACACCCTCTATTAGACATCAGTACAAAATATATAATGCGCCGCTCAACCAGGGTTGATTAACCGTGTACTCCAAATGGCTAACATCAAATAAAAATCTAGATCATTATGCCTTAAAACTAATCCAAATTAACGAATGTACTTATTACTTTGTAATTCTGAAACATTGTTTAGTACATCATTTAAATGTTAGAATAAATGATCAAAACTAAAATCTAAAAAACTGATCGAAACTTCAATATTTCCTATCTCAATTGAACAATGTACGTCTTTTGCAGTTACATTTCTTTATATCATTCACCACTTTCAAAAATCGAACAGATTAACTTAGTGATTATTTGTTTTTTAAATACGAATATTTTAGAATCATCATTGTTATATTTATGTACTAGTTATTTTATAACATCATTATCGGCTAAATTTATGATTACATGTCGCTTCCAATTATTTTCAGTCTGTTGGTTAGTTCTATATGCTTTTGAAGTCATTTAGATGGTTAAAGGATTCCGGGGAACTAATATGATAGTTACAGGTAGCTATTCATTTACTAACAACAAAGACTGTGTTGAAATCATAACTGGATCTACAGTGTGCCGAATAACAACACTACAGTCTTCATTGAGGTCATGAACTGATCAATGTTAGATCACCATTAAAATCATGGAAGCACTGGATGGTCGTTTCATCCTAGTATGGCACTTCCAGGAAGTTAGCGGTGGTAATCCACAATCCCTGCACGCGGTATTCGAGCCAACGACTGTTAAAACTTGTGGCCTTGTGCCTTAGTAATATATAACGTAATGATTCCACCAATTAGAGAACAGTGATTTATCGACCGATCCAATGACGCGTAAAGCCGTATGAGCAGTCTAGAGTTCTGATCGGTCCTTCTTCTGTCCAGCCCTGCCTATTAAGTCCAGAACACTAATAAAGATGTATGTATAGTATTAGTTCATAAATGGATACCAACAGTTAGCGTTCACTACTCTCGTCTGGATATATCAATGACCTTCGGTCTCGCGCTTGAACGCTTAACCTCCAGACCATTGAGCCGCCATCCATCGGCATTAATGTCTAACTTTAACCAATTCACGATATTGATGGTCTGTTTTAAAGTGATCAAACTAGATTTGAGATATTCACCAAATTATTATAACTGTATGAGATAACTTCGAGTCTACTGATAATGAGTTACATGCTTTGGACTAGTCATATTCATACTTAAGCTACACTACAACTACTATATAGCAAAGTCAGCGTTTGTGAAAAAGCTTTTGAAATTCTGTTATTGTATTTTGTTGATTTCGTATTGAATCAGACATCTAAATGGGTTTTTTATTTTCTTGAGAAATTAAGAGATCTTAATTCTTTTCTCAATTCTCCACTAAATTTTATCGTCAAAGCTATTTCAAAGTCTGTGTATCATTAAACTTAAGTAATTTTCAGCTCTAAATTAAAATATCGTGTCTGTTGTGAGGCAGTGACTCACTGAAGACAATGGTGGACGATGGCGCAATTTTGTGGATTGGTTGAAGTTAGACATTAACACCGATGGATGACGGCTCAGTGGTCTGGATGTTGAGCGTTCGCGCACGAGACCGAAGATCTTTGGTTTGAATCTCACGAAGGGGATCGTGGATGCGCACTGCTGAGAAGTCCCATACTAGGACGAAATGGCCATTTAGTGCTACCAGGTCGCCCAAAGTGGTCTAACTTTAACCGACTCATGAATTCAACTATTAAAATAGCGATATTTATTATTATTTAGAAGTATACATACCCTTTGATTAGAAGATTTACTTCGTGTAATCCATCCACGACAACGTGCTTGAAGTTGTATTAATAATTCTTTATTTTTTAAATAATCAAATGTGAAAGGATCACTTAGAGTTCCACGAGAAAATCGAAAATAGACCTGGTTAAAAAATAATTTAAAGAAATATAAGATTGAAAGTTTCTAAGATAATAAATCACAATAACAAATACTGAATTATATATTATACATAATTTAAAAGCTTACAGCCTGTGATTCACATAATGGCAGAAAAAAACTTGGTATTATATCACACTTTCAATGGCTATTTATCACAGAATAATATTACAAGAAACTTACTACGGATCAAGAATTTAACTGATCCGACTAAACAGTATTTAATTAACTAAATTATTTTCAAAACGTTTCTTCATTAGTCACTGACTCTCGATGAAATCATGATAGTTCATTCATTCTTATTAACCTAAAATATAATTTGCCTACCTTTACTATGAAATAAAACCCCAGGTTACTAATATCAAATAAAAAATGAATATGAATTATTCTATGTCGTCTAAGTTGAATTTCCTTGTTTCATATTTTTATAAAATCTCAGATCAAACATTTACTGACATTAATTCAATGAATTATACAATAAACTTACAAGTTATGATAAATTTTAACGAATGAAGATTTTATTATTTACCATTATTTTTTAACTGTTTCTAATAAACTTGAATTTTATGTAAACAACAGATACAAGAAGGTACAAGTATTTATAAATGGTTGTCTACGCAAAATGCTCAACGTTCATTGGCCGGATACTATCAGCAACAGCCTTCTGTGGGAGAGAACAAACGGGCTTCCAAATGAAGAAGAAACTAGGAAAAGATGATGGAAATGGATAGGACATACATTACGCAAATCATCAAACTGCACCACGAGGCAAGCCCTAACTTGGAATCCTGAAGGGAAGCGGAGAAGAGGAAGGCCAAAGAACACATTACTTCGGGAAATAGAAACAGATATGAAAATGATGAATAACAAATGAAAAGAGCTAGAATGGATTGCCCTAGACAGAGTTGGATGGCGTGTGCTGGTGAGCGGCCCATGCTCCTCTACAAGAAGTCACAGGCGTAAGTAAGTGAAAGATACTCAAATTATTCAAAGAAGAATTCAGTAAATAAGTTGTTCTCTTTTTTTTGAAAAAAATAAAAGATGAATTTTGAAGTAAGGTTGGTAAATAGATGGTAAACTTTACTTGTATTAAAACAATATTGATTTACATAAATCAATACACTATCTCATAAACACTTTACAGATTCAATTTTAATTTGGTTTTTTAGTCTCTGTAAACAAATAGTTGTATTTATGATTGAAAAATATTATTCACATAGCATAAATATATTAAGTAACATATTTTCCAAGTTGAATAATCTTTATTAGTAATTAATTGAGTTTTAAGTTCAATGAAATTATGGTAACAAACAAGATTTATTCATGATTTATTTTATTATTTCTGAAATAATCCAATCATGATATGCACCTGGTTCACTTATTTCCAATTATTTGAAAAACCATATAATCATGTGTAAGTGAATTGAGCAGTGTATACATGTAGCTAACCAATTGAATTACTGGATTCATATTTCCCATTGATTTTATTCAACAGTTTTACAATATATATGAAGCTGACCTAAGCTAATAATAATTATTTTTCAATGAAATAAATGTTGGCTTACTATGACAGTTTAGAAACTGTTCTATTAAGGCTTCGGGTGATTGATTTCACGCAGTCTAGACTACTGTTTTTTTAAACAGTATAAATTGTTGATTTCGTGCGCAGTTAAGAGGAAATCGTAATTAACTAAATTATATTTATTATCAGAAGGGGTTTCGTGGATATTATAGTAATTTTGATAGTTGTGATCATGAGTTATTTGAAGCTAGACCACCAAGGAAAATCTCGAAGCACTGGACAGCCGTTTCGTCCTATTGTGGGGCTCCTCAGCAATGCTCAGTGTTCAAGAGTGTAAACGTTCGCTCGCAAGACTGATATGCCTTGGGTTCGAATCCCGCAAGCGGGATCGTGGATGCAGATTTCTGCGGAATCCCACAATAGGAAAAAAAGGGCCGTTCAGTGCTATCAGGTTTTCCATAGTGGCCTAACTTCAAACAACTCATAGTCTCAACTATTAAACTATAACTATTATTTTAGATTTTGTATAATCGTATGAATGTAAAATTATTAAAGATCAACATCAAATTACAAATGTACAGTATTCTATGCATTGATTATTATTTGCATAGTAATTAAAACTGCTTAAAATTGAACAGTTAACTAACTGTTTGCACTTTTTTATTAAAAACAAATTTAATCTTAACTGATAATTAAAAAAAACAAACAAAGAATGATTTATGCATAAAAATCTCTTTGATGAACTAGTACAATAATAAAATCAATAGTTTTTGGTCCATACAAAACAAATAAGGAGAGTTTGAAATTCTCATTTTAAGAAAAGATACTAATAATAATAGAAAAAAATTCGATCTAGTTCTTTATTATTCACTTATTCAAACTATCTATTCATCTGAACGTTTTTCGTAAAGTGCTAATCAATGAGGTGAATAGATAGGTAATCATATAATCAAGTAGTTGTCAAGGCTTATTTTATAGTAACAACATCATCGATATTGATTTCATCATATCTAAAACTTGTAATTTAATTATATTTTATATCGAAACGATAACCATCTGACTATTCATTAATTACTAGGATGGTATAATAAATATGAAAATTCGTTAATTAAATACTAAATAATTATATCTTTACAAATCCAAAGTATTCAATTTTCTATCACTGATCAAGCTGATTTAGTGTAAAAAGTAAACAGTTTATCATATAAAAAAGCACACACACATTGTTCTATACATAATATCTAGTTAAAAGCTTCCTTTTGTAGTTGAAAATTGATAACTATGTACAAATATGCATAAAAAACCTTGTAGAATAGAGTAATATCGAGAAAATTCACATAAGTTGAAAGTGTGTTAACAGAGATTGATCAAAATTTAACAACTGAATAACTGAAATCCTTTTTGATCATAACATAAACATCCTACCCATCGAACTATTTATTAGTTAAATTCATTGGCTCAACAAGTAATGGGTTGGGTTTGAAGGTGCGAGTTATAGAGTAATAATTTTAATGTTCACATCAACATGGAAACTCAGATATGTTGAGCTGATTAACCCTAAGCAAGACAAAACACAAATTATTGATTCCAATAACAGCCACAATCTATTTGTTGTAAGTAGTTTATAGTACACATATACTTTCAAACTTTTGTATGGAGTGACGGTTAGTCTATTTTTTAGTTCAGATTTGACTTCCTGTTGCCAATCAGCCGTATATGTTTCACATTGTTTCTGGTCTACTTTTGTTTACTCTTTCTTTTTTTTACAGTTTAAATAACGTTGCGTAAATATGAAATATGTCATAATGAAACGTGTTGACTTATTGTTAGTTTGTTTTGTCCACACCATGAAATGATGATCTAATGAATGTGACTTCAGTAAACATTCAGTAGCAATTAGCCTATTTATGACTTTAGCATATGGATTTCACTAGTTTACTGCTTCAAATAATGAATGAAAGTAACAATTTTTCGTAGACTGTCAAAAATGAAATTTAACAGTGAACGTTTAATGAGAAAACTCATTATTCTTAGAAATAAGCAAAACGAGTGTTAACCCTCTTTAAATCATTCATTTTTTATTAGATGATGATTTTAAAGCTTCACAAGTCGTTTCAAAATAACTTCAATAATCTGATTAGTGATGTTGCCTAGTTTTTTAAGGAGTTATTTAAATGAATTACTACTGGTATATACAAAAACTATTAATTAGGATTATTTTTTATCAAATATTTTATATAAAAGTTAACACTGTCATTTTAAGCTTCTTTGTTCGTCTATTCTCTCTTTTGAAAAATATTCACTGGGGCCTTCGAGTTATCAATCTAATATCCATAAGTGGTCATCTCTATCAAAATAAATGAAAGTGATCGATCATATGTCAACACTACCACAAAACGTTCGCCCGTTTCGGCATGATTTTTAAAATATCAGTTGTTTACTATCAGCTTGAATCAGATATTAGTATGTTTTAATATAGTATCGGCGGATAGGATATACAATAAGGAAACCATCAAACTGCATGACGAGGCAAGCGCTAATTTGGAATCCGAAAGGAAAACGGAAAAGAGGCAGACCAAATAATACAATGATTCAAGAATTGGAAGCAGACATCAAAAGGATGAATAGCAACTGGAAACAACTGGAAAGGACTTCTCAGAACAAAGTTCGTTGGAGGATGCTAGTGGGAGCCCTATTCCTCTTCACAATAGGTAACAGGCGTGTGTAAATAAGTTTAATATAGTATCGTTTTATCTATTCAGTTAATACTATGTGTAAAAGTACAATATACATCTATGTATTATACTTCTGATTTATTTAAAAAATTCATAGCACTTTCTCAAAAATGATTAAACAAATTCTCATTCTTGAGCTTAAAGTACAGTATTTAGCCCTATGGTATATAATCTTACTCATATTTTCTGGATTGGATCGAGAAATTTAAGTGGATGTGATAATATCTTATCACCAGTCCAATAGTACTGCTGTTCATTATGGCAGATGAAGCCAATTTACCGAAGACAAAGTAGTCGTTGGGTCATGTTATATAATGTAATTATAAATATTTGTATTTATACATTCAAATAAAAAATCCCCCTGATGACAACAGAAGATGTTTCTAATAAAATGTTAGTTTCTCTGATATCATATATCTACATTATCGACGACTAACAAAAATTATCAAACATAAAATTATACTTGATTTGAAATCAAATTTAATTCAGTTTGAAATGATCTGAATTATTCCGTTGTTGATATATTGACTGAAATTTGATCAGTCTTCGTTTGAACATGAATATTTTGTGGGGATTGGCTCGATATGGACATTACGATACAATTAAATATAGAATAAATGGAATGTGTCATCATGGCAAATACCAAGTCTATTCTCACAGGGTCGACATACGCAAACGAAGACTGATCGAATTGCAGTCATAATATCAACAACAGCATAATCCAGACA